TGCTTAATATTGAACTCAATCATGAACCAAATATACAGTTTTTATCAATACTGTTGATAATGGTAGTTGTTAAGCTACTTCATTATTACAAATGTATCTATCTTAATATAAAAATACATGTATACAATCGTTATGTAAAAGTATCACAAGTGAAACATATTTCTTCAAGAACAACATTTAAAAAGAGTTAACATATTGGAAAAAGATGAGCAATAAGGTGACATACAAGGATTAGTAAATGCTAGATATCGGATGATCTATACTTATGCAAAAGAAATTCTTGAGAAAAGTCTATAATTAGGCTATTAATTGGCTCAAATAATTTCTGTCTTCAAATAAATTTGAAATATCGTATTCTGTACATTGAAATTATAATTAGACCCTTATCGTTTAGTGAAAACGTTTTTGTATATGAATTCTCTTCTGTTATAGAACAATCGAAATCGTGTTCGCTGCTATGAATCAAAATCTAAATAGATAATTCAGTAAATAAGATTTTTCACAATCTGTTTTCTTTAATATCAAGTTATCTTCTCGCGATTCTATCAACTTCGAGATACGAAAGAAAAAAAGGGAATACCAAGTTCAACTTTTTAAAAAAATAGTTTCTTCATATTTTAAAAATTAATATAAACATAATGAATTTTTTATTAAATTCTTTACTATTTAGACTAGAGAGTTAGTGGCGGAGCCAGGAATGGGCTGGGGAGGCTGAGCCCCCCAGAAAAATTTTCAAACTATGTATTTTATTCGCCCACCGGGGCTCAAAGATCCTTCAGAGGGGCTGAGGCCCCAGCTCAAAATCCGGGCTCCACGGGTGTGGATGTGGGGTGTAGGTGTGGATGTGGGGTGTAGGTGTGGGTAGGGTGCGTGGGTGGGGTGTGGGTACTAGTGTTCTCTTTATTCACACCGACCCTCACACCCGCACCCGCACCCACACACCTACACTCACATCCGCACCAACACACCCACACCGACACACCCACACCGACACCTACATCTCACTCACATCTACGCCCCACGCATACCCATACACCATACCCATACCACATACTCACACTCCACACACACTCATACCCCATACCCCCCTTTGTTTATAAAAAATGCAAATTATAATTGTTCTATTTTCTTTTGATAGTCTATGTATGCGTATATTTCATTTATTTTGTGGAGAAAAGCGAATTATAATTATTTCAAAAAGAAAAATAAGACAAGACAAAGCATACAATCTGATTAGATACATATATGTGAAACGACATATTACAGAAGTTCATCAATATTTTCTTTTGAAAATCTATGCTAGTTGTGTCCAATGAGTAGTATTGATTCGTTGAAGACGAAATGAATTGTTAGTTGTAGTGTTCACAAAAGTTATTTGATGCTTTCGAATACATTTAAAAAATTGCTCTTTTAATGCTTTTCTAACTTCACTTGATTTATAAAGATAAATATAGAAGATAAATACGTAATTAAAATGATAAATAAACAAAATGATTTGATCGAAAAAGTTTTCGAGTGCAATGCGCAATGTAGTTTTTTCCGAACCATTGGTTATGTCAACATAGATAGCTTGAAAACTAAATGGTATTCCCGATATAGCAAGAATAATAAGTTGAGGCATTAACATTGCACGAACTTGGTTTGTAAGACGTTTACGAGATCTATGAACTGTATTTGATCGAAGATTTCGTACAGTACCTATTGTTGAGAAGATTATTATCACAGCAGGACCTACTTCATAAACAAAAGGTGTCAATATATAAATCTTGAATTTTGCATATAAACTAGGTTTTAAGATACAGATATTATTTAGAATTCCAGCAGAAAAAATGATTGGAATATAGGTAAGTATCCAAAAGATCACCGTAGAAATAATCACTAATCGAACAAGACGAAGAGAACTCCAACGATGTCGAACAGCCGAATCTCGAGAAGTAGCAACATATTGATCAAAAGCAGCCCAACATGGAAAAGAAATAGCCCCTACGGTTGTCACATAACGTAGGTAAAGATATTCACGACAAGCTGTCTCATTCGTATTCATTATTGGAACACCAAAACCATAAACAAGAACCCATTGAGTATAAACAATTGCTAAATGAAGACCTGACATAATTGCACCTGCTAATAAATATGTCAGACTTGTGTTTTGACGAAATTGACGTTTTTGAGTGAAAATTATAACAATTAAAATTGATCCAGTTACACCCAAAATTATCATGGGTACAGCCAATATATAATTGAGAAGATGAGCGAACAAATTGATCATGTCTTCTGTTGACATATTTATCTTTTTGTTCTATAGAATCTTCTACTCGGTCATTATATAGAGACAATCTATTAAGTTTTTCTCTCTATGTAGAAAAACTCTTTTTTTTCATAGTCGAGAAATTTTTCTTTCTTTCGCTTCGTGCTGTTTTTCATGTCATTCATTGGCCACTGACCCATAAGTATGACAATACGAAGTCATGATAATCAACCGTCAATCTTCGACTTTAATCTTGTTTAAAAGACAATTTCAAACGTGTTGAAATATTTCTTTTTTTGATTAAAAAGAAATAATAAAAGCATTGTCTCATTTGTCTATCAATTAGCGTCTAACCAAGAAGAGTTACTATTAGATTTGACAACACATTAACCTATTTTCAGAAAGAAAACATGTATAAATATAGACACGGACTATAAAAGCTTTCCGCAAAAATAATTATTGATGATATACTCCTCGTTAGATGAATAGTGTCAAATTCTAAAGTTCAATTCAACTGTTCAACTATTGCTTTAATTTTCCAACTACGTAGTTGCCTGCTTGAATTCAACTATTCAATTATTCATCTATTCAATTATTCATCTATTCACACAAATTCTGAGGGAGAGCAACAGCATGGGTCCGAAAAAATCGTGGAAAGGGGTTGTTAAATAATTGAATAGTTAATTGGAGTGTTCTTGAGTTTTCTTAAACAAATCTTGATTAGTTCTATTTTTGGAGATTGTATGATATAATAAATGGATCATTATCATACATGTATAATCACTTGAATCGAAAAAAAAAAGAAAAAAAAAGGTGAAAACAATAGAATATTATAAAAATACTGAAAACGACGATAGTTAATATTTAGAAAGAAAGAAATTCTAAAACATAAATAAACAATTACTCTAGAAAAGTTGAATTTTTTTTCTGGCTGTGTTTATACCAAGGACCTCTTTAACTAATGTCGGCGCTAGAAGTCAGTGCACTGGGATGTTTTTTGAATAACTTTCGATAGGAACAAGTTAGCGATCTGTGATTTTCAACAATCGATAGAAAATTATAGGGAACACATTTTTATATAAAAATCAAGGTTCAAATAATCAGACTATACTCTAAAAAAATAGGTATTCTCGAAAACCCTTAGAGGGTTTCCGAGGTCTCGGAAACCCATAGTACCCATTATAGCTAAACCTCAAATACCTCTTCGGAAACTCAAAGAAAAGGTTTCCGAATGCGGTTAAACCTCTACCAAATTAGACTAGACAGAAATCCATCACTTCTCTGCCAGCAGCAGCAAGCATTCACAGCGGCCACAGACATTCAATGAGGCTCTGCTGTGAACCTATCCGTACCAAGAAATGACTAGAACAGTCATTAAAGGTCGGCAACACACGAGATTCAGAGAAAAACTTTAATTAGCCAGACGCACTTCGTCACACCATTACCAAATCATCAGGTCGCTAAACATTACGACCTTCTCCACCTAAAAAATGAAGAAACAGGCCAATTTTTCGTCGACAAATCATCTAAACTCACCCATTTTCTTCACATCCAAATCCATCCAAACTAATAGGCACCCATTCACATGTAAAAAACAATTCAACCGAAGTAGTTAATGAACGAATTTCATAGCTCACCAAACGTTTCCCTACGACAATCATCTAAAAATAAAAATAACATTATATTTTAATTTACTAAATTGATTCAAACTCACCCGACCTTTTGAGAGAAGACGAGTCTAAGGATGAAAATAAAATTTCATTTTCGTACAATAATTTAAACAAACGTTTCAGATATACTACGATATAAAACGAATCTACAAATGAAAATGAAACTGTTTTTCAATTTAAAGAATTTTTCCAACTCGCCAATCTATTGACATAAAACGAATCTAAAAATGAAAATGAAATTATATTTTTATTTAATGGATTGATTCAAACTCACCGGATCTATCGTTATCACACGAATCTAAAAATAAAAATGAAACTTTAATTTAGAAAATTGATTCAAACTTACCAGGTCGATCGATATTAAATGAATCTAAAAATAAAAAATAAAATTTCATGTTCATTTAGTAATTGGAGTAAACTCACCAGATATATTGAGGTATAAAACGAATCTAAACGTAAAAGCGAAACTTCATTGTCATTTAGTAATTCAAATAAACTTACATGATGTATTGAAATATAAAACGAAGCTAAAAATAAAATAAAATATTATTTTAATTTAATAAATTGATTGAAACTTACCGGATCTATCGATATCACATGAGTTCAAAAATTGAAAGTAAAATTGTATTTTTATGTAATTCATTGATTCAAACTCACTGAATCTATTGATAGACATCGAATCTAAAAGTAAAAATGAGCTTTCGTTCTTATATAGTAATTGGAATAAACTCACCCGACATATTGAGTTATAAAACGAATCTAAAAATAAACACAAAATTTCATTTTAATTTGATAAATTGATTCAAACTCACTGGATCTATCGATACCCCACGAATCTAAAAATAAAAATAGAATTTCATTTTCATTTAGTAATTGAAATAAACTCACGGGATATATTAGTAAATACAGATCGAATCTCCAAACAAAAATTAAAGATTGTATTTTTATTCTATAAATTGAAATGACTCACTTTTTTTTATATTCAAAACAAATTGATAAATTAAAATGAAATTATATTTTAATTTCATATTTGTTATAAACTCACTGAGATATATGGTTATATAAAACGAATCTAAAAAGTAAAAGTCAAAATATGTTTTAATTCAATTAGTTGATTAGAACTCATCGAATTCTAGAGTCAGATTACGATAGAAAAAGAGAAATTGGGATGGTATTGTATTCATGAAATTAAATAAACACCCTAGATAGATAGAGAAAATGTGGTATTGAAAAGTATAAATGATAAGTTAGAAATATTCTATGAAATAATTTAAAATAACTCATCTACCTGTTGACATGAGTAGATATGTAAGAAAAAAAAACATTTCATGTAACATCGAATGAATTCTAGAATTCATCGAGATGAATTCACCACTGAAATCATAAGAATAGTAAGCTTTCGAAAGAGGTATGAAATGAAGGTACCATATTTCCTGCAGTGAAGCAGATTTTTCCGTTGATAATTAATATGATCTTAGATTATTGAAATTGAAGAGAATGGGATGGCTACTCAGATGGATTGGATTGATAAAGTGGAGGAGTTAATGTAGAAGCTTTTTATCAATATAATATGTTTCATCAATATTTTGCTCAAGTGAGAATGATTCCATATAAGAAAATTTTTGCTTTTGAGCATGCTTGTGGGGAAAAGTATCGTTAGTGAAGTGTTTTCTACTCATTATAGAGACGTTATTCGATAGATATGCAATCAGAAATAAGAGATTCAGCTTGCATAGTTATTCTGATGTTTTGTTGGATAGGTGAGCACCCTGATATCATTCAAACCCAAAAAGGCTTAGGAAGTAAGCAACCATTCGTTGAATATGTAGTGCGAAGTATGCTCATTGCATTCCACGTGAGTAGACTACTAAAATTTATCTCTAAAAAGGTATTCTAACTATTCTTTCTTCTAGTATTAAGATACCTTTATATTCATATATAATAATAGCATCGAATTTCGTAATAAAATAGACGTCCCAAAGACTATTGTTAAATAAAATTTAGAACAAATATTAAAAGCATGCTTAAATGGTCAACCTGTAGCTAAGTTTCTCTTATACTGACAGTAAAAATAAAAGTTGTGCTTGAGGTAAGTCTCCACTGAATGCAATGTAAATATAAGCGATTTCGTCTCCCTTCGAAAATGTACAATTTTAGTAAAACTTGTAAAAAACTACTCTCTAACGAAGAAATTATAAACGAGATTGTAGCATGATTAACGATCTTCTCTATATTTAGAAATCAGTGTTTTTTTCAATATAATATTTTATTAATATTAGAAAATAAGAAATAACCATTGTTTTCCTTATTTTACTTCGTCTGTCAGTTGCTCTCGACCAATCTCAAAATTAGTACGACGCAACCCGCTGAAGTTAAAGGGAATCATAATTAAGCATAAGAGAAATTGCATTGATTTGTACATTACAGATTGAACCCTTCTTTTTATTCGATTATAGAATAAAGCTAGAAAGTGACTGAAGACAAGACAAAAGTATCAGATCCATGATTTATGTTCTTGTGAAAGTTATATGAAAACATATTGTTTATATGCCTTATAAATGACATTAATTTCTTAAGATGTGGACTTAAGTTGCAATTTTCTGTTTGATTTGAAAGCCTATAATCTATAGAAATAAACCAACTTTAATTCTCACTTAAGACTAGAAACTTCTGCAATTCATTCCTCCTTTAATTTTTGACATCCACGATTGCTACAATTTAATTCTTACTTTAGCGAAACTCAACCAAAAGAGGAAGAAAAAAGACATGGTAATTGTCTAATTTATTTATTTTGTTCTTGATCTGTCAATATTGTATTCTCTTTTATATTCTGAAGAATAAAATCAACACTAACATGCACAAATAACATTCCATCATTTCTGAAGCAAGATCTGGCTTCACATTTCGTGGAACTGTTTACATAGAAACAATTTTGAATAATTCAATATGAAATTACTAATTAGATCTATCCTTTTGCGAAGTTTTTGAGATGTCAATCACAAAATTGATGAAGGTGTTGGAAAAGTTGAAAAGCTTGGGAACTCTTTTAAGTGTTAAAACAAAATTCGAAAACCTATTTTGATTTCCTAGATGGTTCTATTTTTAGATTGAGTATTTTCGCAAACCCATCTCGGTATCCTATGATACCCTTTTTCGCAATAGGTATTTTCGGAAACCATTTAGGAAATGAAAAGGTATTTTCGCATACCCTTTCGGGTACCAATCCAGCTTTACTAGTTATATGGGTTTTCGACAATACCTTTCCGATTTTCGAGAAACTTATTGGGTTTCCGAAAGCAAGAAAAAGGTATTCTAGGAAACTTTTAGAGAGTTCAATTGAGTATTGTCGGAAACCCTTGGGTTTCCGAACGTTCGGAAAACCAAAGGGTGTTTTCAGAAACGCTTTCAATCTTCGGAAACCCTCTCGGAAACGGAAAAGAGTTTCCGATTGGGTTTCCGAACCACTTTCGGTTTCCTAGGATACGGAAATTTTTTAGAGCGTAGTCCATCATTTCAATGTAAACAGAATGAAAAGAATCTTGTTATTGTCCAAATTAAGAATTTGAAGAAAAAAAATATATGACACTAACTATGATGCATCGTTAAATCTTTATCTTCATTCATTAGACCTTAATACGTTAAAATTTTATCATTGTCAATCCTAATCATTCATAGTTTTCTTAATTCTGTAACAAACTTATCCTCAGCATGTAAAACAAGGTTTATTATTCACATTATTTAATTGAATTCGATAGTTTCCTAGATAAATGTAATTTATTTAGATTGTTATCATATCTATGAATAATAATAGTAGGTTGATTGGCTGATGTTCAATCAAATATTTTTTCGACCACACATTTTTCACGTAGGATATCCTAGGTCCAGATTCGAGTATTTCCTCTCACGATTCGTGATACGCCCGATTCCAACTGAGATCACACTGGTTCCAAGTACAACTCGATGAGATCTATCCAACGCACTAGTATTTTCCCGAAAACAAACAGTCCTTCCTGGTCAAAACCCGCTTTTTCCGCAAAAAAAACAAGAAAAAACAACACAACGTCACCAAAACCACTCACGATTCGCTCAGAGACCGATTTCAACAAAACTAATGCTGGTTTCAAGTAGATCCCGATGCGCTCTATAAAATGAACACCTTTTCAGCTCAAATCGATGCACCCATCACTGAGAAATCGGCCTACAAGGCCCGAAACAACGCTTTTTTCCGGAAAACCTCTCGCGATTCGCCCAGTGACCGATTCCAACAAAACCAACACTGGTTCCAAGTAGATCTCGACAAGCCCTATCGAATGGATACCTTTTGAGCTTAAATCTATGCACCTATCGCTGCGAAATAAGCCAATAGGCCCCAGAACAGAGGGTGTGGGTGTGTGCGTGTGCATGTGGATGTGGGTAAGTGTGGGATGGTGGGTGTGGGTTGGTGTGTGGGTGTGGATGTGGATGTAGGTGGGTGTGGATGCAGGTAAAACCAAGAATTACAACCATACCCACACCCACAGAAGATTGACATTTGAAGAAGGTTTGATGAATTGGATAGAGCTTGGTGACTTCTACTAGAAGTTAATTTTATGATGAATCTATTCTTAAAATCTTCGAATCTTAGTCTAAGATATTCTACATTTAAAACTCATCCTCTAACATAAATAAATACCAGTATTTTTCATATAATTAATACTTAGATTTTTCTTCCTTTTCATAAATAGTTGTTAGTTTATTGATTTAAAACCTATTCCGAATAAAATAATATTCAAATAGAAGACTATTTTCTACTTAGAATGAGTAATATCTCGTTAAATAGTTTATTACAATAAATATCTGGTTTACAAAAGAAGTAAATCAATAATAATTTCAATAGTGTAAAATTGATTAACAATTTGCTAAATTGAAAAATAATGAATATTTTCTCGTTAAGTGGTTTTTGAAAGCATATCAAAAAAGAAAATACTAGATCCACTTGTCATTATTCATTTGTTTTTGATTGTTGTATTTTTTATCGAATTCCTTAATAAAAGCAACAAAGATCGAGCAAATGATAGAACGAAGTTGTTTGTTAATGTTATTCATCGTTTCTCTGCCTGCAGTTTGACTGTCGCTGCGAAGACGAAGATCACTTGCCGTTGATTCAGTTGAAGATGCACTATCGCTGCGAAGACGAAGATCACTTGCCGTTGATTCAGTTGAAGATGCACTATCGCTGTGAAGACGAAGATCACTTGCCGTTGATTTGGTTGAAGATGCACTATCGCTGCGAAGACGAAGATCATTTGTCACTGATTGGGTTAAAGGTTCACTACCACTGCGGAGACGAGAATTATTTATTGCATATTGAATTCGACTTTCCTTTTTCTTTTGGTTTCGTTCTTGTTTTTGCTGCTTTTTTCGCTTTTCGCTTTCTAAGCAATCTATGATACAAGAAATAATTGACCGTCTATGATCATTAAGGTAGTTGGATATGCCATAATGTTCGAAAAATTGAGCAACTGGTTCAGTTATTTCTTTTGAACATTGACATCTTCGATTTTCATCTTTTGCATGTTCCTCTAAAGTTTTCGAACACAGTTCAGTTAAAGTTGAAACACAGTTTTCCCATGAACATAGTTCGAATAATTTATTCGTAGGAATGCCTTCCAACATTGCTTTTAATATTCTTATACCAATATCGTCTGTCATGATTATTAAATCTTCTTTAACAGCTCTAGGTATTTTCTCGTTTTTATATAAATCATTTTCACTACTGTTTAAAACACTCTCGAGAGTAATTTCGTGTGTTGAATGATGATAATACACTGGAGTTTGTCCAGCTTGTGATAACATTCGTATTGATAATGGTAAATGATCGTTGTCTTCATCATTCATTTGTAAACTCTCTTTAAAAGCTTGTCGAATTATTTGACGTACTTGACCAAAACGTCTTTCTACTGATCCACCGACACTAATAATACAATCAGGTAAATATATTTCTTGATTAAATTGAATATTTGCTTCATCTTGATTTAATGGATTAAAAAGTGAATATGAATTTTTTTTATCAATGACATCTCTAAATCCGATTGAATGTGTTGATGCATATTTAATTGAACCTTCCATAGTACCACCATGAGCATCTGCGTGATTAGTCAAAGCATTTAAAAGTTCAGGATCGTGACAATTTGAAATGAACAGTTTAATAATACGATCCAATAAGTATGGCTGATAAGTATTTGAATGATCCATTCCATATCGAACATATGTCGCCAAATCTGGATGATATTCATTAATATATGCTCGTATGTATGATAGTATGTCATTTGCAATCTTTTTTGCAGTTTTCTCATCAATTTTATTCACTTCTACTGCAACACTATAAGCACTATAAAAAATGAGAAGAGGCGGATTATGTAAGATTCTTGTTGAAACTATTCCTGCAATCAAAGACAGAAAATTCCGATAAGATAAAGAATAAATATCTATTTTTTATTTTACCTGTACAAGTTTCTATATTCGATAGAAAGTATTTGGATAATTCCAGTAATCGATATAACAAAGCAATACCAGCAACGGCATAGGATGGTGTACGTACAGTGAGTGAATCAGTTGTTCCACCAAGCCCAACTCGAATTTCAAGTTTGAAATCTGGTTCACTGCATATTCGCATACAAGTTATTAAAACATCTTTTACTATTTCAGTTGAGTCTAATCCAATCATTATTTTTCTTTCATCATTCATTATAGCATCAATACATTTACAGAATTCAAATTTAATACGACTATCATCATTACATTTGAGATCGTTTTTGTAATAATCAATCATTCTCGCCCATTCCTTTTGAATAACTGTATCTTTTTGATATAAATCAACAGCTAATTCGACAAATTGATATGATTTATAAACCTTCATTAAGGGATAATAATTCAATGATGCCATTATTTGTTCGAATAATTGTGCTTTAGGATCTGAATACATCACAGAAGATTGTTGATCAGATGAAGCACTGGAAGTGGTTAAGTTTGAGGATATGCCAGATGAGGATGTTTTATCATCGGAAGAGTTTTCTGCATCTGGAATCAATGTTGTTTTATCTAAGTCATCTAAATAAAACAAAAATATTGATAACTAAATTGTAATTTAAACAATACTTTACTGTGAATCTCTCACTATCATTAATGGATTCTCTTGGAAACTGATTATTTCTATTTTACTATGCAACGAATTCTTCAGTTAACAGAACAAAACTATAGAACTATTTCATTCTATTCACCAGTAGTCATATACTACTCCAAAATAAAAAACGCTGAAAAAAACAAATCATTTCATACACAATCAAAGCAACATTTTCGTCTTTGATCTTTTACTGTTATAAGAATCTAAGTTATACTCACTATGATTTATTAAGTCAATAAAAGATTCATCTTGTGCCATTTTATTCTCTTCTAATGAATATAATATTATAAATGAATATAATATTATAAATGAATTAATGATACTATTTGGATTATGTTGTATAATGTGTAAAACTGCTTGAAAATATCTGATGAATGAAAAAAAAACTTTTATTATATATAGAGTAAGGACACGGAAAAAACCATATTTGTCCATTGACACAGATTTCATCTATGACTCTATATAAATTGCGTTAAAGAAAACATGAAATTTTATCTTCCAAGTGGCTCCGACAATGAGGAATATATTATTCATCTTTCTTATCTTGAATTAATAAAATGATGCAAGGGAATGTATTTCTTGTGACATAAGATATTTTTATTTTTAGATTAAAATAAATAATTGAAAATAAAGAAGAAAGAATTTTTCAACTGATAATTATATTCATTAATTTTGTCAGATTTTGTAGAGTTTTATATTGTTATTATGATAAAAGTCATTTTTTTCCCTAAGATAGAATAAGTAAATAATAATTGCATAAGATATCAAGTGAATCAAATCGTATCGTATTCAATCTTAAAATATTACAAGAAACTTTCAGTGATAATTATTCATCGAATATATCACAAGAGAAAACTTTGAACTTTTTCTTTCGATTATAATGTGTTTATTATTGATATTCAATGTTAGACTATACGTGATATAAACAATGTATCGCTTTATTGACAATCGCAATTTACCATATATTACATATTTCCAATATATTTTGTAATGATAAATCAACATTTTTTCAAAGGCTTAGAATCTATCTTTGTTATTTGATGATGTAGAAAGCATCAACTACTTTCTTTCTAATGCAATATCCAAGTAAACAAAAATATCAATTTTTTGCATTTTTGAGCAGAAAAGAAACAAACTTTCAGCTATTTCTGTCTATGTTAGTTTTAACTGTACTTTCCAGAAAAACTCGACGTTTTACTCATTTTTCAGCAATGTTTCGAGTTTTCAGCGAAAAGTTTGCATAAAATATATATAAAACAAGGAGAGCGAAAATGCCTCAAAACTTGAAATATTACTTAAAAAATAAGCGAAAACTCGACCTTTTATGGAAATTACAGTTAAAACTAACATAGACAAAAAAGCTGAAAGTTTCTTCCTTTTCTTTCCAAAAAAGGCGAAAAACTTATGTTTGTTTGCTCGGATATTCGCATCATATTTGCGTCTTTGTTTTATTATTTTATGAATCATATCTTACACACCCAAATATATTTATAGATCATATAAGTGTCTGTAGTAACCTCTCTTAAGTTGAAGTTTATCTATATATCATTTGAAAAAGGCTTGATAACTGCATTTATGATATATTAAGATATAGAAAAAGAACGTAGTAAATTTGAATTATGAAGATAAGCGTCTTCAATTTTTCGTTCTGTTTTGCTGTAGTGAAGGTTAAATAAGGTAGCATATTTATATCTATGATGAAATCTATATTAAATAGAAAATAAAGTGTTTGAAATAAGATCAAAAATTAATTCTTATAGAACTTTAATTTCGAATTGTCAATAGATGTTGATATTCACTGGTAAAGAGTGTTGAAAATACGATTTAATTCATCAAACTGATTAATTTTAAATAAACTAAAAGAAGATTTACTTGATCTTAAGAATGTGTCCTAATAACATATATTGGTCAGTATAAATGTTAGTGTTCGTTTTTTTCTCTCTTACTTATTAAAAAAAAAAATTTACGAGTCATACCCTAGTTCATGTACTGAGTTAAGGGTACTCGAACAGTATCATAGTACTAGTTTGTTACAGAAACTTTTGGGTTCTGAAGTATCTTAAAGTATTTTGGGGTACCTATTAGGCAGCTAGCTGGGCACCCTGCTGTAAAATATTTAAGAAATAGATACTGATTAGATACTCGTTCAGACACTAGTGCAAATAGTTCTAGGTACCCTGTTGAAAAAACTTCAGTACAATCTGGATCGAACCTTACTTTTGCCTTTCGTTCAAATTACATTTTTCTGTCATAATACTTCGAGCATACAAATCTTATGAGTTATTATGATATTTTTTTTTGTTTAAAGAAAAATGATTGATTTTACTTTTATTTTTAGAGTTAATACAGCTGAATTGACAATGCTATAGAAATATTGAAATTATAGTTTTTAGACATCAGATCATATAGAAAAAAAAATTAACATATATCCAACAATAGAAATACTTGTTAAATAGGAAAAAAGACACTTATCTTATTACAGATCTGAATAAATCTAACGATTAATAATAAATCAAAAATTTATGGTTAGTGCTTAACAAAAAGAAGATAACGAAAATAACAGAAATTCAACAATTACTCTAATGACCTTGTATATTATTAACGAACTATTAAATTAGATTATATTTTGACAGTTTACATTGTTTACATCCAATAATTGATCGTGATTGTTCTTCATTTTTAGTTACTAGTGAAACGGTAGTGGTAGTATTTGGTTGTTCAGAATTTTCATCATTAGTTGGAAATAAATTGTATTAAGATAATTGAATATCAATCATAATAGAATTAACAGAATGATGTCCATCCTATAATTAGACATATCCACAACACAAGTTTTATCCATTTTGATAAAAATAATCTAAGAGATCTAAAAAAAAGAATTAAAATGAAAAATGAAGTCAGATGTATCTACTAGGTCAGGAGATCTATGAACGAAAATATTAAAAGAATAAAAGAAACACATCAATATAATGTCTTTATAGTAGTTAGTTTTTTTATTTCGTTATTTAATTTGGGCTACGAAAACGCTCATTATATACATGTATTTATTAAAGTAAAGTTGATAAATTATTTTATTTCGTTGCACCATACGCTTTCATTAATTTGGAATAGTGAATTTTTAAAATTCCATTCTTCTTTCATACAATAAACTTATACACCCAACGAAGACTGTTTCTTTCTCTTAGAATATACATTGATCATTTTCTTTGTTGAAAAAAAATGTACCAATCAACATGAAATAATAATTATTATTATGCCAATTTCTTTAATTGATGTTTAAAATAGCAAAAAGAAATTGCGAAAGGACTAACATGAACAACACATGCTAATTTTTTCTCCATACAACCGAAATTTTGCTTCAGTGCATTAATATATTTCCACACAATGTATTGTGTACAGTAGAAATTCAGGTACCCTGGTGGATTTTTGCCAGTACATTTACTGATATAGATACTGAAGATAGTTCCTATATCGGTACAATTACTGGAACTTTTCAAAGTACCTGTATCATTTATCCTGCTGGAACTTTTAGAGTATATAGATACCCTGAGCTTAGAACTTTCTCTATGGTGAACCTTTACGTTGCTGACTTCTTTTTTCTTATTCAACAAAGCATAAACATCAATTTTCTATGATAATTATGAAAATAAATGTTTAGATTGAAATATTTGCATGGAAGTTCAATTAATTGTTTAAGATTATATCTAGAGTTGATTCGGAAATTGTTTATGTATAGTCAGATGTGGATATGGGATGGTTGAGTGTTGGTGTCGATGTGGGTATGAGATGATCTAATGCTGACTAAGGCATACATCTACACTCACATCCATCAGAATCAGTTGTAACTTGAAAAGCATTAACTATCATTATTAGAATATTTTTCTTTATTGTTTTACGAAAGAAATAGAGAACTCTGAGATAGAAAAAGAAATAAAATACTCAACGAATCTACTCTAATCAATTCAAAGACTTTTGTTTCTACTGAAATTTTCAAAGCAGTACATATACAGTTCTGATTCTCAAAGAGTTGATGTTGTAGCCGATATTTTTCGTTTTTAAAACGATAAAATCTGTCAACCATATTTTCTTCTTAGAGTCAATATTTTTGAATCTCAACATTCCAATTGTTAAGGCAAGTATACCATTCTGAAAATTTGCAACTTTGTAAAACGATTTAAACATTTTTGTATGGATAATAAAAAAGAGAATCCAAATACTTTTAAACTCATTAACATAGTAGAAACCACTGAAGGATTTTGTTTTCATCCTATACAGTTGACTTTCGAGTCATAGCTCCATAATAGATCTTGAAACAGGTCACTCAGTTCAAACTTTGTTCCTATTTTCAAGAAAATATTGTCCACTTAAGAAAGCAGAAAAAAAATTCCAATTTTAATCAATTTTTTCAACTGCTAATCCATTACAATGGCACTAATTGAATTTCATAAAAACCTAAGTTTTTAATTTAAGAGATAGATTTCATTTGATTTTAGTCTTTCTTAATTAATTTATAAAATCTAGTTTTAGTTGAAAAAATTTAATTAATTGATCACAAAAAATTGAAATCTATCTTTAAAGTTGAAAAATTGAACAACAATCAGACTCAAACAACCTCATTTTCTTCGTTTTTTTTATTGAAAAAGAATCTATTTCGTTTGAATTTACAGTCAACATTGTTTATATAGATTTGACACCCCACAATTGATAGCATTTAAGATTTTCGATTATGCTAACATTTTGAAAGATTTATATAGTCAATAAATAAAAGCCGATCATTCATTGAATTCAATGACATTTGTTATTCACACACAAGGTAGAGGGCATTCTATTTTTGAAAGCTTTTTGTTAATAAATGATAGTCTTCAACCAGTTTGAACACCTATGAACGCATCGTGCTGTTTTGATTCAATAAGTAAGTCAGCTTCTCCCTCATACTGTTCTTTCAATCGTTAAAATCATCTACATTTATTCACATCATGATCACTATAATAATACATATTTTACAATGTTCTAATAAACGACTACAGTGATTGTAGATTTACATTGTGTGGAAATTTTTTTCTAAAAGAAATAAAGTTTCTATAGTGCAATTTTGAATTGGGCCACGCACAGCAAGCACTATAAACTTGTCGGCCCGATCCAGGTCATCAGAAAGTGTCCCGGTTTCGAGACTTGGTCTACACTCACAGTCATCCACACCACGAATTAGCTCTCTTTCACCAAATGTGATAGATTATAGACAATCGAACATGCTGATTTTGAATCCCAATATGAGGCTAACACCTAAATATTTTTCACAACTTTTTCTTCAATTTTGAACTTCTTTTTCGAGTCAATATGAAATATCGAATCTAATATTTTCAAGAAATCTATGATTGACCAATAAGTATTCAATTTAGAGTTTGAATTAGAGCTTCTAAGTTCGTCATTTTATATATTTCCAATGGATCATCAAGTTTTGTGCAAAACAATATATGCTTGAGTATTTCAGACTTCTTTTCAAGGTCGAATGACAATCAAAACTGAACAATAGTTGAAATCCTATTGTAGCAGTAAAATATAGTTTATCTTGACCAAAGTTCATTTTTTTTTTAAATCTAATCATGCTATTCGTAATCTGCTTAAAATGTTGCATTTACTGATGAGCTTAACAAAATAAACAGAAAAAACAGTTATCTCCTTCTCCAAATCCTGAGAGAGTCAACACAACTGAAACAATTGTTTGAAGAAATCTTGCAAAATTGAGTCATATAAAGTGTTCTCTAATAGCCAACTTGTAAATTCCAAGTGAGTTTTTTATCAAAAAACAATGAAGGAAGAAAATAGCCTTATCGCATATTTTCTTCGCTATATTTTGAAATCCTTACAATGTGTCATAAATATTAGTTTACTTGCTTGGATAAATCATCGTTTTTTTCTTTCATTTCTATCTATGGTGTAGAATAATGATGCAATGTTTTACGTATGACGCTTATCTCAATAAAACGTAAAAGAAGGAGAGGAAAAAACCGTGACACGTAAAATAAATCGTGGTTTACTACCGTTATCACACGAAGGATGGTCTATAAATAGATCTTTTTTATTTAGATTTTTTTACTTGTTACCGCAGCATCATGGCGAAAGCATCATTATCAATTGATGAAAAACATGCATTGATTACACGTAATCTTCAAGAAGTTATTGGTGATGATCGTTTACGGAAGATTTTAGAAGAAAGAGATCTTCGCCTTTATTGGGGAACAGCTACAACAGGTCGACCTCATATTGGCTATTTTGTACCAATGACTAAAATAGCTGATTTTCTACATGCTGGTTGTGAAGTAAATCTTTATTTTAAATAATTTCTTCTATAGAATTAGCATTTAATTTTTGTTTCTTTTTTAAGGTTACTATACTCTTTGCTGATCTTCATGCCTATTTGGATAATATGAAAGCACCATGGGAATTATTGGCTCATCGAACTGTTTACTATGAACATATAATTAAAGCAATGCTAAAATCAATTGGTGTTCCACTTGAAAAATTAAAATTTATTCGTGGAACTGATTTTCAACTTTCTCGTGAATACACACTTGATGTTTATCGTTTGTCATCTCTTATTACAGAACATGATGCTAAAAAGGCTGGTGCAGAAGTCGTTAAACAAGTTGACTCACCATTACTTAGTGGTTTACTCTATCCAGGTCTTCAAGTATATAGTTTTAGTGATAAAAATTTTAAACAAAGTGTTTGTTATTTTATTTTGATTTTTTCTTATGTAGGCTCTTGATGAAGAATATTTAAAAGTTGATGTTCAATTTGGTGGAGTTGATCAAAGAAAAATTTTTACATTTGCTGAAGAAGTTTGTTTTATTGTTTTTGTTTTTTCTATATGCTTATTAATCTTTGATTTCATTTAGAATTTACCAAAACTTGGTTATGCGAAACGTATTCATTTAATGAATCCCATGGGTAAATATTATTATAGTTTAATGCTGAGAAAAAAGTATAAGATGTGGGCACTTTTTATTGTTTTCTTTTCTATAATAATACACATTTAACTGAAATCTAACAGCTAATTAACTTCTCTATCAAATTCATTCTATAGAAAATTTGCATTGATAGGCTATGAGAAAAAAGTTTCTGAAAAAAAACGAACACGATGGATTTGAGATTCAAAATGGTTTTATGAAAATTAGTCTCGAAGAAATTTTTCTTTAAGATCAAAAATTCCTCATTCATGTATGGGATTATCATATTTCCTACAATCATCCTTTAAAAAGTTATAAGCATCACAAAATTTTTTGCAAATGTGAAATTTATCTTAGTATTGCACAAAAAACGTACTTGATTTCTTTTACTGATGCTTATAACTTGCTAAGAAAAGGTAGTAGGAAAAGCGAGAATGCCTCGTTTCATTGAAGATTTTATACTATTTAAAACTAATTTTATCAGTCATCTGGAACTCAGAAAAAAAAGGTATCTAATTTTTCAGAAACCTTCCTTTAATAGTTCATCTACGAAATTCCAGTAGAGAACCTATGTAATGATAAAGAATTTCATCCACTCTTCAAGTTATTACTTAGATTTGAATGAAAGGCTTGATATCAAGGAACAGAATAAAAAAAAAATACATCGATCTTGTGTTTTTTCACTAATACTCTTTTCTTATTCATATTTTCTTATTTAGTTGCTGGTTTAACTGGTGGAAAAATGAGCGCAAGTGAAGAATCGAGTAAAATCGATTTACTTGATACAACTGAAAATGTTGAAAAGAAAGTTAGGAAAGCTTTTTGTGAACCAGGAAATATTGATCGAAATGGTGTGCTTGGTTTTTGTAAAAGTGTTATTTTTCCATTACTTAAGAATAAAGGTTAGTCAATTGAAATCTCAATAGTGTATCAAATAGTATCATTTTTTCAATAAAGATCTAGTAGTAAAACGATCAGCTGAACATGATGGGCCAATGTCATTTAGTAATTATGAACAATTAGAACAAAGCTTTCTTAAACATGTACGACAAAATTTTCAAATAGATTTTAAATGTTCATTTAGTTACTTTTCTTTTGGCAGGAGATACATCCAGTTGATCTGAAGAATGCTGCTACTACATATCTTGAACAATTACTTGAACCAATTCGAAAAGAATTCGAAACTGAAGAAATGCAAAAACTAATCTTCAATGCTTATCCACCGTCACCGGCTCCAGTTCATGAAAAAAAAAGTAAAGAAAAGAACTAAATTGATTATTTTTTATGTTACATTTTCACATTAATTTAAAAGAGACACTCCATTCATTTTCATATAAGGAAGTCATCTTTGAACAAAACTCGGCAAAGAATAATTCTATCTTTATTATTTGATCTATCGGATTTGAAGACACATGAGGCCAAGCTCTTAAAATATAAGAAAATATTTTGCAAATGTTTTCTTATACTTCATTTAGGAAACGTTTTACTATCTTTATTAAAATGTAAATTGGGGGTAGGTAGAGCAATGAGAGAGTCCATCTTTCTCCTAATTGAAAACTCTATGTCGTACTTGGGTCTAGTCAACAGAAAATTTCCAGATCAAAATTCAATTGAATTCAGGATCAAGTATATGTTCTACTCTCTCTACAGATCATGCCAGACAGCTTAACAACATACCCCGTATCATCGACGTTGTTCATATGCGATCATAAATCATATAGCAATAACATCTCGTTACGATATATGAACCATTTCCTTATTGCATTTCTCGAGCATCGTGAATAAATATGTTCCAAAATAGATAAAATAATATCATCTCTCATGTTGTCAAGAAGAGCAACTATATCGTGTTTCACATTTAGATTCCACAGGAATTTCACTAACAACTTATTTCAATGAACTTGAGTTGATGTATCAATTCTTACTGTTTGACAAAAATATCGAAATGTTAAAGTATTAGTAGTGATTCACTTCCAATATTTAGATGAGCATTAATTAAAAATATTTCTTCGTTTATATTTACTGAGAAATAAACTGTTTAAAGAAAGATGTATTAAAAACTTTTCTTTGTATTTTAAGAGAAAGAATCTGGAAAAAAAGAACAACGATCAACTGTATCAACACCAATTACATCTGAATTAGCACAAAATGCTAATGAAAATCTTGTCATTAAAGATGACACAAATTCTACATCAAAAGATGACGATCCAAATTAGGAATCGACAATATATTAAAACCATGAACAGAAATTTACAAAAAGAATAACCTGTATATTATATTTTTGAATGTTGATTCATTGTTCATCGACACATGTTGTATATATTTTGTTTTTCTATTGTATTAAACGTGAACGTTATTCTTTATAATAAAGGAATATAACACTTAAGTTCTTTCGATATCATTATGAACAGTAGATATTGCCAGAAAAGCAGCGACAACATTGAAACTTTGTTATCTATTGTCAACAAAATAAAAAGGCAAAGAAAGAACAAAAAAACTGATTCTTAATCTTACCTTTCATCGAAATATTAATTTCGACCAGTGAATAGCACGCAACAAGAGCGAGAGAGAAAGAGAGAGCGATGGAGAAAGGAAAAAAGGTACAATGATATGGTCATTGAACGATCGAAATGACGTGATCAACAAATTCATTTTTGGCTCATAAAATATAACAAATCTATTGATAACGTAGAGTCAGATTTTATATTACATGAGAAAGCCTCTTAGTATTACGTATTGAAGCTATGTTGACTTGTTCCAAAAACAAACATGTAAAAAAATTTCTTATGGACACTATAAACATCGATTATCTCCAGAGAAATTTCTTTGAATACAGTCAATTATATTGCTTTATGATGCATTAAAAAGATTTCGAAAGAGACACAAATCGTAAATAATGATTTCAAACGTCTGGGGTAGATGAGTTGTGGATACAGCAAGCTCGAAACTTTGAAGTTTTTTTAAGATATTTGAATTCTGTGTCTAAGATTTAGATTGCATTTGGATCTGATCTCAAATGACCTAAGTTATTTGGACTCAAAGCAGGTTGTGCATTGATATAGACTGACAGAAAATTATTTGATTAGAATCTTTGCTCAAAGTATTTTTCAGACTATGCATCAAATATAAATTGTTAGCCCATTTATACTGTCATGTATTTCTGATTAACTTTCTTGTATTAATCGACTATAATAAGAATTCTCGTCTTCGAAAAATTACATTCTATTTCATTTAAACTTCTTCATATATGCAATAGAACATTGTTTTGTTCTTTCCTTTGTATACACATAGACTACTTACTTAGTGGTACTTTAACATAGTGGCGGACATACCGCATTTTGGTATAGAAGGCTTGAAGATATTTTCTTTTTTTACAAGGTGATAGAGGAAATAAAGCTCTATTTTGGCATGCTATTTCATCTTTATTTAATTGGTACTATAATCATCGAATTTCGATAAGAACTGTTTTTGTATAAAATATAACTATAACATTTGATCATATTTTCATCTATGTGCACTGTCTTTTTGTTTGTTTCCTTGTTTGTCTCTTGAAGGTGGATGGGTACGGGTATAGTTATTGACTTAACTCACACTCACATCCTTAAATGGACAAAATCAGAAAGACAAAACCAAATTTCAACAGTAGGTCGATTCGACATCTTAACAACCCTCTCCTTTGTTTCGGCCAAAGCTATTTTCTATCCACTTCCCATCAAACTAGTACAAAGAACTCAAAAATAACTTTTTCTCAAAAGCTGTTGAATAATCATGGGTTTATCCAGTAATGATTATTGTGACATATTAGAGAATTATTTGATTCTGACGGTACAATTATATGGAATGGAAAATAACTATCTTTGTCAACGTGATCATGCTCGAATCTATGTATCGCGACAAAATGAAATAAAACTACAGAAATCAGTTATAAGTCCTGATCTTAATCCAATCGAACAATGATGCTCTGTTATTAATAATAAATTAAACTTTCGACCAATATCGCCGATAAAAGAATTAACTGAAGGTTTAACAAGTGTGTATTTATCAATAAAACCAGAATTATATGAAAACCTAGTGTTTCTGATGACATGGGGAATTCAGAAATGTTTTGCAGTTAATGTGGAATGTATAGACCACTAAATTTTATTCATCCAGGAATTCTTTTATAAATTTTTTGATGTATATCCTGCCTCTCCGAACTCTTTGCTGCTATAAGATTTTTGTTCTTTTTGTTTTTTCATATCAAAATTTTAAGTTTTGCGTTCACATGCTAAAATATGAAACGTTAACCAATAACTATATTTACCATATATATAATGTTTAATTTGAAAGACCTATAAAATTTTGGCGGTTTTGACCATATCTCATGCTCATAGAGGGCTGCACAAACACAAGTACAACTTGTACTACTTTTTTTCTACTATAATTGTAGCATGCATGTACTTTATGTACTATGTACTATGTATTGTACATAGACCCCCCATGTACCCCAGAAAAACCTAGAATTCTAGAATTCATGTACTTTATGTACTTTATGTACTATGTACTATGTATCATACTAAGTGCATAAACTAGATGAATTCTAGGTTTTTCCGTGGTACATGGGGGGTCTATGTATAATACATAGTACATAGAATATAAAGTACATTAATTCTAGAATTCTAGGTTTTTCCGGGGTACATGTGGGGTCTATCTATAACACATAGTACATAGTACATAAAGTACATAAAGTACATGAATGCTACGATTGTAGTAGAAAAAATGTAGTACAAGTTGTACTCGTACTTGCGCAGCTATGTGCTCATACCATTTTATGATTAATAATTCAGCAGTGAATCTTCATTCACATGCGATATCTTCAAATGCTGGAAGAGAAAACCAACCGACTCCTATAGTAAATTCCCACAAAAACGATACAAAAACTAGCAATTCTCTATTATCCGAAGTCATACCATCTCATGAAACTTCGTGTCAGGCAGAGTCGAAATCAGTTCTGGTTTCTCGTACTCATGACTAAAAGTATTTTGACATTACAATAGACTTTCTAGCTTGTTATATCAAAGCAATATAGTTTATGTTCTTTTGATTTTGGTCATTAGTTAATACATATAAAGGTTTATTCTATCTTCATAGTATCCGAAATTACGCTGTCTGATGAGACTTCATGTGAGACAGAGTTGAAACCAATCATGACTGCTTGTACTTCACCCTCAAGATATTTATCTTGCTTCTTTTGCAAGCGATATAAATAACAGGTAACACTCGTCTGTGTAACTTAGTTGATCCTCGACTCAATATTTGACTGTTTCGATATGATGTACTGCTTTACAGCCCTTAAAAAAATTAGCATTTAACGTTTGAACAAGGTTGCGTGTGGATATGGATATTGATATACGTATCAATCTCAAATTTTGAAGGACCGACTTCAGGTTCGAATTTTCCGATTCCAATTACTGTCGGGTAAGCCTTATAAAAAATCGTTAATTTCTCATCAACTTCTTCTTAGACCAAAAAAATGAAGTTCAAAATGTCGAGAAATCGGTATCGGATTTGAATTCCGCGACGCCAATTCACTTTAGTCATCCTTGTTAATATGTAAAATCCGACCTCAATTACCTTCGGTGAAACTTTAGAAGTTACGCCAAAATAAACTTCACTTCTGATGTCTTTTTGACCTTGGCATATATCTACAAACGCATTTTATTTCATATAATTCTTCCACAGTCGGAAGAATGATGTCTATATCATGTTGAATTTAGTTTGTAAATAATGATTCACTTTATCTTAAGATAAAAAAAGCAAATATTCATCACATAGATTGCACCATAAGCATTTATTGACTTACATTATACTCACCAACATTTTCTTTCTTTTTTCCTGTAGTTATTTGTCCCTTTTTTACGAATTTCGTTAATAGACACTCCTCAAAAAAAGAAATATATATATATATATAAAGGATATTAATGTGTGTATGTGTCTATTGTTTTTCATTAATTTTAAGTATATTTATATATTTATTAAAAAGAAGATTCTTGACGGTATGTATCGATAATCATTTAATTTGATATCCGAATTTATACATATCTCTTCAACTGAAAGCTGAGGGAGCAATAGTGAGAAAAGCTCGAAAATTCGATTGAATTGTGGAATGCTCCGTTGAAAAGTAGAAAACTCAACAATAACGTTTCGAGGCGCACAGAGTTTTCGATTTCTATATTACTGAGATATGCTAGAGCTGCATTAATAATGTTATCGATAGTTTTTACTTTCGTCGTGTTTTCTTTCTACCATATACCATCCTTGTAGCTGGTTTTATTTTGTTTTTTTCGCTCATTGAAATAGATTGTATCTCTGTGTGCACAGTGATAATACGGTCACTCTCAGTCATCACCGAGAAATGTCAAGCAATCTTAACTATCGTGTGGTCATTGTTGGAGGTGGTATCATCGGTTTAACAACAGCATGTACACTTCTGAAAGAGTATGCAGCGATTGACAATCTCCAATTGACTATTATTAGTGAGACATTTTCACCAGAGACAACGGGTGATATTTCAGGAGGATATTGGGAACCGTATGGTGTGAATTTGAATGATCAACGTATACTAGATTGGGCCCGTTACACTTACAATATATTTATGGAAGAATTTTTTTCAACGAAAGCTGCTCGAGCTGGTGTTATGAAATTGTCGGGTTATAGATTAAAAAGTCTAGAAGGTCAACAGGCGAGCGATAGTGATGATTTTATCAATCCTCCATTTTTGCCACTTGTTCTACATTATCGAGTATTAAGCCATCCTGAAATTCGTATGTTCGATCATTTAGGATCGGTCAAAGGCTTTGTCATGTCATCAGTGGTTGTCGAAGTTCGACAATATCTTCCACAATTACAACGCTTTTTGGAGCAAGATCCACGTGTAAAATTCATCAAGAAGAAAATACATTCATTGAGCGAGTTAAAAAATGAAGTAGATATTGTTATTAACTGTAGTGGCTTAGGTGCTAGAGATCTAGTTGGTGATCTGACGATTCGACCAGCAAGAGGACAAGTGATATGAACCGATTATCTTTATTTTTATTAAACATTTTTATTTTTTAGATTATACGAGTTTATGCTCCATGGATAAAATCAATGTATTATTTTGAAACACTAAATGAAGGCGTAGGTTACATCATTCCACAATCAGATACCGTTGTCTTGGGTGGCACATTTCAGCTGGACGACTGGAATACAACACCAACAGAAAACGACACACATCATATTTATCGTATGTGTGCAAAAATTTTACCAGCTCTCGAACAAATACAAGATGGTCGGGAGCAAGTAGGTTTGCGACCATATCGAAATGATGGTGTACGTCTTGAACATGAACGAATCATGGACGGTATTGATGTCATACATTGTTATGGTCATTCCGGTGCAGGAGTAACATTATCGTGGGGTTGTGCAAAAGATGTTGTCGAGATTGTTAAGACTCTCTTACCGATTGATGTGCAACGACCATCAGAATTACCAGAACACGAGCAGTTGTGGCGTTTGGTACCATAAATGAAAGATGACACTTTGAGAAAACTTTTTAAATCGATTGCATTATTCACCATTTCCTCTTCTTCCAGTTTTTTCGGAAATTTTCCGCTTTTTTCTCTTGCATCTGAATTTTTTGTGCTGTTTCGCTATTTTCCACATTTTAATATAAAAACTTCTTTTTTAACACATCAGATTTGTTACAAAGAAAACATTTTTTTATTGAATAAATCGCAATCACTGTCGTGTATAATTTGTTATCATTCTGATTAATTTATCTATTAACTGAGTAGAACAACATTAAACCTTTGTCTATGGAAGATAGAGTCTGCTCTCAATTGCTATTTGTGAAGCGAAAACACTATTTTGATGTCAATTGATAATAAACTCTATTTATTGACTTATTTTGCTTGCTTTATTTGAACAAAAAATATCTCAAATCAGAAAATTCCAAAAACTCTTTTCGTGATCAAGTGGTAGCAAGCTAGTATATGAAAATGAAAAAAATCATAAAAATCTAATAGCAGTAAAACTAATGCTACAATCAGATGAAAATAACCATGTGAAAGCCAAAGCAGATGCTTTTGAAATAAGACGAAATAAGGTCGGTGTGTAGATCTTCTCTCCAAGAACATCGTATTCTCACCAGCACCCACATATTCGTATTCATCTCTCCACTTTACACGCACATCTCCGCTAACACTCACACCACAATATAAGTTTCCGATATTTTCTGCATTCTATAGATGAAGTTTTCGGTCTTCAGGCTTCATGAGGTGGCAAAACTGGTATTATTGAACAAGTGATTATCATACAATGCGTTCATCAGTTTTTTCTAACTGTAATTCTTTCTATCAATATAGCACAAGAAAGTGCGCTAGTCTACATATGTGAAAACTTGTGAAAGGGTGTGGGTGTGGGTGTGTGGCTGTCGCGTGTGGGTGGGTGTGGGTGTGGGGTGTGGGTATATGGGTGTGGGTGGGTGCGGGTGCGGGTGTGTGGGTGTGGGTGTGATCCAAGAAAAAGACAACACCCACACTCACACCACACCCACACCCAATCATATTACGTCCACTATTATTCTTTTCCTCCATCGGTTTATGTCCTTGATGGCCTTGAACATTATTTTGATTCAGAGCTGAATTTGTACTTCTTCGATCTTCAAACAAAGTATTTTTCCGATATTTCTTCTTCACCGTTTGAAAATCGTTATGGTTTATTGCAATTACATCATTTTCGTGATCTTCATAACGTCTTTTAGGTGTTGATATTATATCATCATTGTTAATATGTTGATGTTTACTGTAATTATAATCATCAATTTTCATATTGAATTCAATTCCATCTACTAGTTTGTCTTTTTCATTTGAAGACATTTTCTCATAATAGGAATATGACATTTTGTTTAACCATCTTTTTAATGTTTTGATTGAACAAAGAAATAATAATAATGGTAATGCTAATTTTAATTAGGTTTAAGATAACTTAACTTAACTTAATTAATATTTTTCACGTTGAGTGTAATTATATATAATACACTCACAGCGAGAGGAAAACGAACTTATCGACCGCTTGCTACGTGAGGAGGGAGGAGAATGAACATAAATTGTTTTCTGTATTAATCTATTAATTATTGATTATTCAAACAAGAATAGAATTGCAAATATAAATGTCATAGATGGTTCTCCAAAAGAAAAACAATTCGATATTCATTCAATCTAACATTAAACAGGCAAAAACCACGAATCACAGTGACTTTTTTTGTGGCAAAAATTTTTTTGCGTCGTATTTAAACTATTTTTCGACTACAAACTACTGGTATTAAACTTTCAGAAAAATTGTTTACAAACTACAATTCTGTGAATTGATGATATATATATATAGAGTTGAAGCTGTTCTATTTTGATCTAATCATGGTTTTCGACCTGCTTACAGTGATAAGTTAAAAGCTAAAAGTTGACGATTTTAGATAGTATTTTTCACACATCATGAGTGTAAACTAATTTTTTCTCGCTTACTTTCAACTCGAACTCATCATTTAACGTCAGATTAATGTTTTTATTTACTGAAACTTTTCTGAAAGATAAATAACAGTTCATTGGCAGTAAACTGTCGAAAAATTCACTTTGATAAACTATTTAATTTTACTCCGAATATAATAGTGGTTCAGAATGCATAATACTTCTTTTAAAATATTCTGAACAAAAGTTGAGTACATCATGACTTATTCTTTTCTTTATTAATTCATTAGAGTAGAGTGTAAAGATCCCCTCAAATTGATCACCATGGAAGATTCTTCAAAATTATTCACAACTGGAGTGCATAATTATGAGTATACGACTCGTTACTCATTCGTTTTTAATACTGATTTATTGTTTATGCTCATCTAATTCGAAAGTTATTTAAAGAAAATTTGCTAAAAATATAGCCAACTGTAATCGAAATTCAGTTTTGTCAACAAAATGAAATATTATCATAGAATGATAGTCTTTGAGAGGTGAATAAATAATTAAAGATCTATAGACCAGGATGATCTCTTCCAATACATTTCGTCAATGACTGTGATAATATTAATTAGGAGTATACAATTCAGAAGAAACTAAAATACTTGAATACATAGAGTGATCAATATATATGAATAACTGAATAAATGTCGCATCTCAATAAATAATATTCTGCTTGAGAAGTGTATGCTTCATACATGACTCTGATGAAGTTACAAAAGAAATCGTTATACCAACCAAACACTAGATAGATGGCAACAATACTGCATAGCACTATAAAGCGATATAGACGTGTGAGACTCAGAAGAAAAGCATGCTCATGAAAGTGATTGCAGATTTAATTAGATTAAACATAAGAACAAATGGACTGATAATATAGAATGGGTTCAACCTACTTTTCAGCTGATCGAAATACTTCTTGAATATATCAGCCATATGTCTTTAAAAAGGATTTGAGATCTGAAACATAAATTGAATACTCGATGATTTCATCCAAACTAGAATCGAAATTTCTCACGAAAAAAGTGCATACTAGATCCATGCATAGTTTTTCTTTGAATTTTAATATCAAAGATAAGATGATAAAATAACATAACAATCAAAACAAGCTTTTCTTTAAGTAAATCTAATAAAACAATTATATTATACTATTATTTTTCCACTTCCACTTTTAGATTAGTATCGTTGTGTAAAATTTCAAGGTTACTGTTTCTAGAGATTTAGAATTAACCTGACAATTTGTTTCTTCATTTTGTGACAAGTTGCTATGTGCCTTCGGGTTCATGTGAACAAGAATCCGTGTTGGCAAAAGGATGTCTAGGAACACAATTAGAAATTGACATCATTAGGGTAAGGTTATAAGGTGAAGACAATTTACAGGGTGGGTGTGGATGTAGGTTTCGAATTAAATGAAACATACTCATATGTAAACCCACACTCATCCTTCAAGAAGCGTTCCACCAAAGTTATAACTATAGATCCAGATAAACCAAACTTCTCTGGATAGTGAATTTCTGTTTCAGCACCAAAATAAATAGTGAAATCCAATATAAAACCTGTTTTGCAGTCACAAAGTAAAATTCATCAATGCAAAGATTTTAATATGTTTTCAAGCAGAAGAAAAACATTTTTTCCAGTTCACTAAGAATCGGTCGTATTTTGTAGAGATTATCCCCAGCATTTCGACTTTTACTATCAGTGGAGTGAAGGTTAGTTAACAAAGCTCTGAATCGATCTCTGGTGAAAAATTCGGCAAATATAGATGTTGCAATAAGAAGATCCATATGACTGTAGCTAAAAATGTATTACATCTCGTTAGTTGTCGTATCGACCCATTGAGATGTGTTACTTGAATTTATTCCTACAGAATTTGTGTAGAATCGATTTGTTTCTTCGACAATCGTTCCAACTAGATTCGAATTAAAAACATAATTCGAAGAAGTTAAATGACATTTCGAGAGTAAGGTTTTTCATGGTTGAAAAGAATCCACAGTCACCTGAATCCAAAATGAATAGACAAGCTTTGAAACTTGAATTCCTCGAATTTCTCTATATGGTAGATATTTTTTTAAATGAAGCTGTTAATTCATATTCCAAATCACTGTTATCTTCATTACAAATATTGTCATATGAATAGTCTTCAAACTCAGTACTGGATTCTGAATCTATTATATATTTCATGATTTACTTATCAAATTTGTGGTTAAACACAGCTTGACTTCGTGAAGGCTGGATGTCAAGGAAATATACAATATGTTCAGATCAATCACGTTTTCGTTTAAACAATTAAGAACAAAATAGGTATATATATATCAGTCGTAGAGAGAACAAGAATCTACTCGAACGCTCCTCAAAGAACATATAAAAGAAAAAGAAACAGAAAACGTGATGTCATTCTATGATAGCAGAAAGATAGAGAAAAAAGAGTGCATGAGCTCGAAATGAACGATCTTTGTAACCTTTTATATGAAAAAATGTACTCTACATTGTATTCATAAAATGCGATGGTTCGATCAAAATATTTCTTCGAGATATCATGCTTAAGCGACTTTTATAATAGGAACTATCTTCTTGAGAGTGACACTTCTTTCTCGAGGAGTGTTAGCAAGCTGATTTATGTATTAACTCATTAAATGATATACTAATTGTCTGAAATATCAAAGGAAAACCAATAAGCATCAGTAAGTATATATGATCTCAACTGCACAAATATTCATAGAGTTCATAGCATTAAATAACTAATAGATCATGTTTTTTTAGAGGCATTCAATGCACAAAGTCTCAGGACAAGAATTCTCGTCACCTGGACTCAATCGGTTAAAATAGAGTTATAAAATGAGAGATGCTGTTTTGATAAGACAAAGAAAAAAATGATTTTTTTGATGTGTCCATCACCACTAAATGCAGTTTGTAGAAACAAAAAGTAGTTCCAAGCTACATAAATGATTTTCTTTTCTATTTATCAATATTCACTATAATGATATACGTTTCTTAAAAGGAAAAAATTATTTTATTTAAGAAAAATTTCAAATCGAATAATCAGACAGTAAGATCTTACAAGATTCTATGTTTGATTTTTTGACTTGGACAGCTGTTGTAGACTTGACTATTTTGATTCTAAGTACGATTCAATAAGTACAATCCAATGTTATAATCAGATTCTTCATACTAGTGGAAAAACCAGTATTTGCAAGTTTAAATGACATGGTTTGGCCTATTAGAAATCTAAATATACTACAAGATAGAGCTCATCATGTTGACAGAATTGAAGAAAGGTGTTTCTTATCGTCTCTCCCTGCCTAGTATGAATGGCACAGATTAATAACTGATAAAAAACATTCTTATCTTTGAGTTTCAAACTGAAGCACATGCAACTTCTATTATTTTTCGAGAGAGTATCATCTGAAAGTAAGAAGTTTGTTACCACCATTGATATTACAATGATATGAGAAACATTTATAGATTATGTACATGATAAAGTTTTGTGCAATTCTTCTTTTTATTGTGATACAAAGTCTTGCAGCACCATACAAATTATCAAACGGTTGTGGTTATGATGTGAGAAAGCATGCGTTTATATCAAGTATTTGAAAGAGATATATATTCATATATTTTAGTCATGTAACTTGGGTAAATCTGATAAACTTAATGTTCATATTGTCGCTCATACGCACGACGATGTTGGTTGGTTAAAAACAGTCGATCAATATTATTATGGATGTGAGTTATGGTTTAATTTGTAAGATAACCATGAATTATTTAATGAGTTGATCTTTTAGCGCGTGGAGAAATTACTCGAAAAGGTGTTCAATATATTCTCGATTCAGTTGTGCAGGCATTAGTGGATAATTCCGATCGTCGATTTATCTATGTTGAAATGGCTTTCTTTCGGCGTTGGTGGAATCAACAATCGGACGATATGCATGAAAAAGTCAAGCGATTAGTCAATGAAGGTTGGTATCAGTCGAATCTATCTATTAGTTAAAACACATATATATATATAGGTCGTTTGGAGTTTATTTCGGGCGGTTGGTCGATGATTGATGAAGCAACAACACATTACAATTCGATTATTGATCAACATAGTTTAGGTGCCGAATTCTTGCATGATACATTTGGTGAATGTGCACGACCAAAAATTGGTTGGCAAATCGATCCATTTGGTCATTCACGAGAAGTTGCTTCACTCTTTGCACAGGTTACATTTATTCGAAGACCTGATATTTGATGCAGATATTATTTTTCTATAGATGGGCTTTGATGGTTATTTTTTTGGACGTGCAGATTATCACGATCTGATAGATCGTTCTGTGAAAAGGACCAGAGAAATGGTATGGCAAGCAAATCCTAATTTAGGTTAATATTTTTTCGACTATTTTGATCAAATTAGATTTCTTCTGAAAAAAGAATGCAAATCTACAATGAATTTTCATTTTAAATCTTCAAAATTTCATATTAAAATGTTCATAGATCGTCAAAGTTGGCTTTTCACGGGTATTCTACCGCTTTATTACCTTAGCCCGCCCTCATTTTGTTTTGATATAACCTGTTCTGATCAACCGATAATGGTATGTCATTGTTTATTAACTGTTTATTTTCTTGATGAATTCAATGATTTTAGGATGATAAAAATTTGCATGACTATAATGTACCTGAACGTGTTGAAACATTCATCGGAGCGGCATTAGCTCAAGTTTGATTAAAAAGAAGTTTTGCCGGCAAATTCTATTTTGATTTATTTTAGGCTAAAGTCTACGCCACCAACCATATCATCATGACAATGGGCGGTGATTTTTTTGATCAGAATGCTCATGAAGACTTCAAAAATTTAGACAAATTAATTCATTATGTTAATCTTCAGGTATGTCATTGTTATATTTTTGATTAACATTGTCTGAAATTATATTCTCAGCAAGAGAATGGTAGTGACATTAACGTCTTTTATTCAACACCATCATGCTATTTATATGCCTTAAATAAAGCAGAAAAAAAATGGTCAACAAAAACTGATGATTTCTTTCCATATGCCAGTACTCCATCTGTATACTGGACAGGTTATTATACTTCAAGACCAGCATTAAAACGTTATGAGCGTTATGCTAATAATATTCTTCAAGTAACTCGTCAACTAAATGGATTTTCAAACTCAAATCTACGGAACCTCATTTTCGATTTGAGTAAGAAAAACATAGATTTATTTAACTTATCAATCGTTAATTGTATTAATCAGGTGAAGCAATGGGACTTGCTCAACATCATGATGCAGTTAGTGGAACATCAAAGCAACATGTAGCTAATGATTATGCTCAACGACTCTCCGATGGTATCGATCGAGCAATAGTATGTCATATGACATGATTTTTTAATAAACGAAATAAGTATTGTTTAGGAAGTGATCAATGATGCCTATGGAAAACTATTGTCTAAAGAAAATAGAACGATACCAATACCTAACCAATTTCTCTGTCATTATTCCAATATTAGTGCATGTCTTCCAATTGAAGAACAAAAACAAGTACGTGTAATTTTCCTACAAAACTAATATAAATGATTAATGTTTTGAAATGATTCTTTTTTTCTTGAGATAAAATATGATAGATTATCTAAATCCTTTTTGTAGTTCACATTAACACTTTGGAATCCAACTATTCATCCAGTAACAATTTATTATCGTGTACCCGTGACTAGACAATATTTAATTTATGATCCAATAGGAAATCTTGTTTCAGCAGAGGTACATTATCAATGATGCACGGCGACAAAGAGAAATCTTTATTTTCCTTTCTTTTATAGTATCTTATAATTCCAAACACAACGAAAAACATTCCTGGTCGAATGAGTTCTGCTCAAAATCAATATCTATTTCCAGCATCATTGCCAGCACTTGGCTACAGTACCTATTATTTTGAAGAAAAAGGTAAAAATCAGAGCTTGAACCATCCAATAGCTGTTGCTTTATTTTGAAATTATCGATAAATTTTGTTTGTTGATAATAGTTGATACGAAGAAGATCGAACATAAGAAAATGATAACAACGACAAATGAAGCATGTATTCTGCAGAACGAAGTAGGACATAACTTTTGAATGCTTATACGGATAGATTATTTTGTTATTGCTAGTTTTTACGTGTGGAATTTAATAATCAAGGCTATTTGAAGCATATTATCAATTTAGAAAAGAATTTGAGAGTATCCTTTACTGAACAGGGTTTATACTGGTATGCTAGTAAGTTATTTTGCTCATGACGTTAATCTAGATTTGTTCTAGATGGTAGAAATTTTCATATAATTTGTTCTAGGCTATTCTCATGCTAATAGTACTCCATTTTCACCAGCATCAGGTGCTTACATATTTCGACCGTTGTTTCCAGAGGCATTACCAGTGAGTGTTACGCGTCACATGTGAGTAATTCTGTTTAAGAAATGATTTTCTTAAAGATTATTTTATTTCGAAAAATAATCATAATAGAAACTGTACGAAAACAGACACCGTACAAAGCGCCTTGATTATTTTCAATGAATGGACTAGTCAAGAATTCAATCTCTATCGTAATACATCAGCAATTGAAATTGAATGGATAGTTGGACCGATTCCAATAGATGATAATATCGGTAAAGAGATTATTATTCGTTACAATACTGATATTAATAGTGAAAAGAAATATTATACTGATGGTAATGGACGTCAAGTTCTTGAACGTATTCGTGATTATCGACCAACATGGCATTATATACCTGATGATCCCATTAGTAGCAATTATTATCCAATTAATAGTCGTATTTGGATTCGAGATCAAGATCGACAATTAACTATTCTTACTGGTAAATGACAATTTTCGAATGTAAATCATTTTTTATTTAATATTCTGTAGATCGATCCCAAGGTGGAGGAAGTATCTATGATGGATCAATTGAAATAATGGTTCATCGTCGAATATTACACGATGATTCAATGGGTGTTAATGAAGCTTTAAATGAAACTGCTTATGACAAAGGTCTTGTTGTTTCTGGCAAACATATTCTTCTTTTTGATCGACCATCAGATAGTGCTCGATTACATCGAACCTGTGCTCAACAATTGTTTATGCATCCTCTGGCAACTTATTCCTTACCAAATACATCGTCTTATACGAATTATTCGGATATGTTTCGTCAAAGTTGGTCAGCTCTATCAGATGCAATGCCATTAAATGTACATTTACTAACATTCGATCAATTAGCTCCCAAACAATATCTTGTGCGTGTCGAACATTATTTTGAATTGAATGAAGATGAATTATATTCAAAACCGGTAACCATCGATCTTCAAATATTGTTCAAAAGTATTGGTACGATAAATGAGATGACTGAATTAATATTAACTGCTAATTTACCATTGTCCGAATTGCATCGACTCGACTGGATGACAAAAGACGAAAAATCGTCACATATTGATATGTTTCGTAAGTTACATTGTCATTGAAACATGTCTCGAATGATATTATATCTATATATTATTTATTTTTAAGAGCAATACTCTTCGAACCTAACAATAATCACACTCAATCCAATGCAGATTCGAACATTTCAAATCATCATCGATTAGATATTAGCTACCAAATTACTTTCTTTTTTGTCATCGATTGGCTATATATTGATATTTCTAATTGATATATTTCGATATATATTAGAATTAGGGGTCGATCAACTTAACCTTATAAACTGAGTTCAAATGAAGTAAAGAACTGATCGATCTGATATAGAATCAGTTTCTAACTTCTCACGACTTATAGCAGACTGATATATCAGACCTGTTCCTAACAGGCTAGCATTCTTCACGATCTATCTAAGGAAAGTACTTAGAATCCTCGTCCAACATCCACACTCATCATACTCGAATATTTTCTTTCATGAATGTGTTTTAAATATGACCAACAAGGATCTGATTGCCATGTTCATAGGAGAGTATTACCTATTTGCTTAACGCTCGACGGCTGTGAGTGTGGATCATATTTCGAGGTTGTCCCACACCTGCACCTATCAAATTGAGTTTGATGAAAAACTCTTTAAATTTATTTTCAAATTCTATTGGACAAGCTGCAAGTTCTTTTTTGTCTCAAAGCTAAGTATTCAAAGATGAGATTAAAAAATTTATTTATTATCTCTAAAGAAATTTTAACATAAAGTGATTCATGCGTAAATCGTGATAAATCACTTATTCAGGCATTACTACTGTTAGATGAAGAAGTTTTACGTTCTCATATGACTTCATACATATTATTCCATCATATAATGATGAAATCATTTCATCCTATTGATCTTCACTCTAAAGGTCTTCTAATCTTTTCATCGAGATTCACATACTAAAGGATAAACAAAAAGAAAATTACACTATCATATCGCATAGAATCTACACAACAAATAGTTGATAGAAAAAGAAAAGAATCGCATTGATTTCTATATTCGATCACTTGAATTTATCGATCAATTTCATTCAAATATGATTTTACAATGTTCTTCATGACAAAATAATGTTTGTATTGTCTCTTCTCATATAAAATAACATAAATGCTGAGCAAACTCTATAAAAAACTTCAAATATTTTAATAATCTATTTGATAAATAAGAGTATCTACCATGTGAGAGAATTCCATGCTGAATGAATAGCATCAACAATGATTCAATTTAATTACAATATTTTTGATTACGTGGTTATTCATGCCTATATACATTAATAAAATGATATTGATCATGAATGAATGTAATATTTATTTGTCATCAAAGCAAGCAATGCTCGACGAGTGAATTCCGCTTCATTTGCATACATTTCATCAATATCCTCATCCTAAAGTGATTCCAAGATTTGCTGGCTATAATGAAAATAACCCTCATCAATAAATCAATTACTTTTAACGTGGACACTAATTGGTTGTAAGATTGAATCGTCTACGAATGATAAGTGAATGAAAATTATTTTGCTAAACTAAAAATAATGATATAGTCTAGACGAAATAATTTGGATATTATATAAATAAGACAGATATGTATCATATTTTATACTTTCTTGATGAATTAATGAAGCATGACTATTCATTATTCGTATCCTTAAAATAAATTAATGCGTTTATTAATAAAATACACTAACAAACGAATACTTAATCATGACAGCTGCTCCGTGCATTACCTTCCTTTCAGTAGAAGCAATAATTTCAAGGAAATCAATTTTGGTTAACATAAATCATTAATAATAAGGAATCAAATAAATAAACTATATTCCGATCACTAATACTTGAAAACACTAAATAGAAAAAATATATATTGAACACGACGCTTTTTTTCCTGAATGTATTAGACCCATTTTACTTTGAAAAGAATGCATAAATGTTTCGTAATAAAGCCGTTCTAACGAAAATATATTGTTAAAACGACCTTTTACAAAGTTGTAAATTATTCATAACGTATTAGTACATTGTAAACACATTAAAATTCGAAGTTTATTTTCAACAGTTATACGAATTGTTTCTTTTTCTTTGTTTATAGAACCTGATACATTTTGATGAATTCATATCCTATACAAAGCTTCGATTGTTTCTTTTTTCTTTTTGCATATCGTGACTGTGCTCAAAATTAGTTAATTATAGTTTCCATTCTAAACAAAATCAAACCTTCTTTATTTAAGAGTGTGAGTGTGGGTATATTTACTCACTGTACCCACACTAACACTCACACCCACACCCAATTCGTGGATCGATGCATAATATAAGATTGTATTTAGATAAATGAATAAAATCAATTGCTTGCAAATGTTTAATAATAGGAAAAATTTTTCTTGACAAACTTTCAACTAAATGATATATTCAATAAATTATTCAGACAATGTATTAAGTCACAAGTAAACTGATTCGACTTTATTGGGTGTGGGCATAGGTGAAGTCTCGTTTGTCCACACCCACACCCTTTCTTCCGCGTTGTTTCATAACTGTTGAGCAATCACAGGCAACCGCACAATATAAAAGGACGAAAACGTATTAGAAAATGTTACAAAGACAAAAAACAAATACCTTTGTACGATTGAGAAAAAAAGTTGAATCAAGAGTTTGAATTCGATTATTTAGATGAATCGAACTCGTTTTCTCGGAAATATCGATTCGGGTATTAATCATTCTTTATTGACAAATTATTCTGTACCAACAAGATTACCGAATGTTCCAAAATTACAAAAGATAACACAATAAGATGATTTGATTTTAATCGAACTAGGTACTTTATTAAGTATAGATGAATGCGATGATATACTCAGAAATATCAATGACATCAATTTTCAAAAGATGAATACACAATATGATATTCGAAAACGAAACAATTCCCGAATTGTAATTTTCGATGATCGATTTGCTCGAACAATTTGGCGCCGTTTAAAATTTAGTCATAAGATAACAAAACTAATTTCGAATCTGACACCATTAGGTTTCAGTGTTCAAGGAAAATGGAAAATGTGTGGTGTCAATAAAGCAATGCGATTAAATAAATATAATAAAAGTGAATATTTTTCACCACATAAAGATTCACAATATGCGCCCAGTGGTGATGAGCAATCATTACTTAGTTTAATCATTTACTTAAATGATGATTTTGAAAATGGTCAAACAAAATTCTATTTTCCAAAACAATTACCGAAATCTTCTATTAGAGGATTAACAATTAAAGAAGAAATTGAAGCTTATGGCGGATTAGAACATGATTATGAATGCGTTGCAATAAAACCAAAGAAAGGTCATGCCGTTCTATTTACACATAATATTTTGCATGAAGCTACAGCACCAAATATAGATGATCATTCTAATAATATCAAAGAACGTGTTGTATTAAGAACTGATGTTGTTGTTAAACGAAAAGAAAAACCATTAGGTTTTGCACTAAGTTCAAATGAAATAGATGATTATCATGCATGTTTAAATTTTTTTCGTGAAGCACAACAAATTGAATTGAAAATGTATGATAATTGTAATGATACAGTAAAACCAATTGATATTGGAGAATTGTATGAACGTTCATTATCTATTCGATATTGTTATCCACATATACTTCATTTAAAATCTGAACAATCAATTATAAATCAAGAAGAAGAAAAAATTAATTGAACGATTACCAAGTGAAATATGGATTTCTATACTTAAACATTTAGATAAACAAGATGTTCAAAATTTAGTTTTTGCTTTTCCCGATTTTCATTTATTGAAAATTGTCTGGGAAGCTCAAGAATCAAAGAAGTATGAAGAAAACCCCTTTCGACAAAAATTTATTCCTACAATCAATGCTAAATATGGTAGTCGAACTTTATTTCGTTTTTCCGATTCAGAATTTTTCTATCAACATATTGATCAATGTTGTCGTGTTGCTGCCGTCTATGCTTTTTTCTATTAGGACATTCAGAACAGGCAAAAAGTTATATAGTTCATTATCATCGGAATACTCATGAAGTATCTGAAGTAGAAATGGAAAAACTATTAGCAGATGTATTTTATAACCGTAATTGTTATGGTTCTCTCTACCAAGTTAAACAACAAGATGAAACAAAATAACGACATCCAATGATCGACTTCGATCACGGTGTCGATCGTACTTATATAACTAATCGTCGTCAAGCACAATTTATTGGTCAAGATCTTCTATCAGACCTGCATTTCAACAACAAAAAAATTATTCATCGAAAGTATCGATCATGTTTTGGGTGGAAACGACAAAGAGTATCTACATCAGATGAGGAACAATCCGACTCAGACATGAGTATTGGTGATCAGAGTTATGAATTTGATAAATTGGAGATAATTTCTCGTCAACGAAAACATGCGCTAGAGGATCGAGAAAAAAAACTTGTTGATTCATATGTAGTTACAAATAATTTTGCTCACGGTTATCCATTGGATCGATGGAGAATATTTTCAAGGGATGACATAATAGGTTATCGTGAAAATTCGTTAAAACAGATTGATCAAGATTCAGGTACATCTTTGTGTCGAATAGCAACGGCGGATTGTGAGGTCGCAAGTGAAAGCTGCAGGTGTGGACTTGGTTCTCCAAAGGTTGATCTCAGTGATATTGAGTATTCTACTGTTTGTTATAATCATCTCATATTCGATTTCGATACACATCAATTGGTTGTTGAACGTTTATCTGATGAAATGCCACATGGCTTAAAACGCCACTCTCTTCTATACGACTGTATCGATACATTACGAAGTTCTCTTTCAGACGACACTCCAATCTTATTCTATCGAGTTAATATTGAAAAATTGGCTAAAACAACAAGCAGCTTCAATCATGCATCATGTCAATGTTATTTACCTGAGAAAGCGAAAATTGATGAATTTTCATTTCTTGATTATACATATTTATCAGATGTTCATTTAGCGATTGGTCAAAATAATGATCATATATTTGTTTTATCAACATATTGTGGCGTTGCTGCTCTTTAATGTATAAATCATTGTATACATTTTTATTATATAAAAAAAAATCCAGATGAATAAAATAAAATTCAGCGTTCATCTTTGAGATTTTATTATTAATCGTATCAAATGTCTCAGATATCAGTATAAAACATCCAAAGTAATTTTAATTAATGTATAATAGTAGAAATCTACTAAATTCTTGTTATAATTTGATTTACCAGTAAACTTTGATGTTACGGTTTTGTATGCTTTGCTTAGTTCAGTGAAGGATTATATATTCTATTAATTATTGGATATATGTAGAGTGTCTGAGTTGGAGATATTATAAGGGTTGCTCGATATTAATGGAAATAGTTATATGTAATCGTTAGGAACGTTTTTTGTGCTGAAGAATTTTCACAATTCTCATGTCATTGATGTATAGGTAATCGTTAAATTGTGTTAGTGTCTGATGAAGAGCTTAGTCTAAGCTATCTAAAATATGTAAATAGGTGATAGAAAATCTTGCTGCAACACTATACGTCTTAAATGAAGTTTTTTTAATGATTTGAATTTTCGTGATCCATCTCATTGAACAGTCGTATATTGGTTGGATATAGACTCAAAGGTGTAGGTGTCACTGCTTTATGAGCGGCTGTTAAAATGGATATGGATCTTTTTCTTGCCGACTACGCATGTATCCCACGCCTACCCTTATGAGTTGAGGTCTTCATTTTAAATACGAAGTTGTTCTCTTCTTTGTAATAAATCATATTTTTATTATTTACTTAGCATGTTTTACTGTTACCATGTGAAATCCTTGCAAATAGAATAATTATAATTGAGAAGAATTGAAAAAGAAAAGGTAAAAAATGAAGTATAAAATGATGTTCTGATACAAAAATAACAAACGAATTGTTTGACAAAATACAAATACACGTATCAAATAAACACAGTACTCATCAAGTTTGGGATTTATCGTCGTTGAGGATTACTCAGTATAGTTGGCTTACTTTATTTGATTTTAATGTGTAACTCCGTAAAATACTTTGTAAGAGAAGAAAACAAATTTAAAACTCATAAACAATGCAAAAATACAAATAGAGTATTGCTAAGAGAGATTTTTAATAGATATCAAACTAACATTTATGACTAACTTCTATTCTCTCAATCGATTGATCGTTATTTTTTTAATGAGTGACATACTGAATTCATCTGTTTGTGTACATTGCACGTAAGTTCAATTCATACATTGGATTCTTCATCTTCAGTTTGGTCTCTCCTTATTGTATTTTATTCATTAGTTTTCGTGAATTATAAATTAAAACTTAAACGGATGACTTTCTAATAAAACAACTATAAGTGAAAGTAATGAGAAATAACTTCTTACAAAAACTCATCCTATCAAAATTCGAATAGAAAGATTCTGATCACAGAAGAATACCTGAGAGTGACAACGGAGAGAAAGTATAGCTGTGGCTGATGAAAAGAGAAACATCTACACCCAACAGTATTCTCTCTCAAAATGAGGGTGTGTGAGTGTGGGTATGTGCTTTTAGATCTTCGCGTCAACCACATATACGCACTCACATCTATCCCACGCCCACACCCAGATGCACACCCACACCCCACCCACCTACACATAGCCACACCCTTTATTAGCCTCTTTAATATGTGAAAGAACCTTAATTTGGTAGAAAGAGCCGTATGACCGAAAAAAATGCCCAAGAAAAAAAGAATAGTTTATTTCTTTAGGGTATATGTGTGTAGTTTCTCGAGAATAAAGAAAAGATATATATCCGCAGCAACACTCATACTCCACAAAAGGTTGCCAAGCCAGTGAGCTCTGTCGTTTTACATAAGAGAGTAAGAAATTTGTTTCAGTTACTATTCTGGACCGATCTCCCACTAAATAGGCCCCAGTCCTTTAAATAACTCATTAATGCAGTACGAATGACAGCAAAAAACGATGTAGGTTTCATTAATAATAATGAACTGCTCTGTTGAGTTATAACACGCATAAAATCTGTAGATAATTGTCCAGATTTTGATGCACAGTGAATAAACCAAAGACTATACCATTGCATAAATCGAATCATTGAAGTTGTTCGTGGATGAGGATAATTAGTCGTAGTCGAATCACCACCTCGTTGATAAATTTTAACATCACCATTTTTATTTGTTTCAATTACTTTTAATGTAGGTGTTTTCCAATCATTTGCAGTCGAAGCAAGCCAGCATTCTTCAGTAATTACTGAAGCACGGCGATTAAAAATATGAGAAATATCTTTTAATTTATGGCAACTCTCGCCAAATATTTTTCCCAATTCTTTCGCATGTCTTAATGCATGTGTCATACCTTGCGCAAATTGAGGATTAAATCCACACATTGCATCACTTATTAATATATAATTTTGGGGCCATTTTTTACCTAATCTATTGCATGTATTGTAACTTTTCATCTTTGAAAGGTTCACAGCAAAATGATTTTTTAATAGATTTATTATAGGAACATTTTTATGGTAAATATGGTATCGAATTATTATCTCAAATAAATTTTTTTCCTGGAACATTGTTCAATGATATTTCATGTCGATTAACTCATATTCGATGTCTAATAGAAACATTAAAAAGTGAGAATACCTAGTACTTATCCAATATCTGAATCAATCAAATCAGTAATCGATTCGGGTATTCAACTGATCAATAATTTAACAGAAATGAAAATAATATCGGATGAAATAAAATCAAAAGATAGTAATGACAATGATTTTGAAACTTGTTGCAATAAATATCGAAGTCTTTTAAATGGAGAACATAGGGCTAGAAGAAAATATGAAAACTTTGTCTTTATTCAAATATGTGAAATATTATTGTATTATATTGAGAAAATTGATCTTGAAAAGTATTTTCCATCATTAAATAAATTGATGATCGATTGGAAAAATTTATTAATGACACAAGATGGATTCGAACCGAAAGTTATTCATGTTTTTAGACAATTTGAAGAAGATCTAAAGAAAATTGTTCTTTCAAATGTAACATGTAGAATAGGTTTTATTGGTAAAACAAGTGTAGGAAAAACTTCAATATTATATGATAGAAGAAGATTTGTAGATAAAACTACAACAAATTCACAAACAGAAATTTCTTCAAACATAAAACCTATGTCTCCAATTCGTGTTGGTAAAAGTACATTATGTCTATTGGAATTTGATCATAAATATATAAATGGTAAAAATGTAATCTTCGTTGATATTGAAGGATCAACTGATGAAGAGACAAATTTAAAATCAGGAAATTATTTGGATGAAACAAGAAAAGTAGATTGTGATTTATATATATTAGTTTGTGAACATCAATTCAAATATATTTACAAATATTGGTATGATTATATTGTAGATACATTGGATCGTACATGTTGGTTTGTACGAAATAAAATAGATGATTTATTTCTTCGAACATTTCAACAAGATGTTGGCCAAGATTTTAATGAATTCAATGAAATAATAAGAAATCAATCTGCAGAAAAAATAATTAGACAAATTCGAGAATCTATTAGTTATGACAGACATAGAAAAAAATTATCGAATTTATATTTAACATTTTTTTTTTCGAATATAAATGATCTTAATCAAAATCTATTTGAAATGTTATATGGAAAATTTGATATCGAACGATTAATTAATGATATTGAAAATTGACCATTAAGTTTTCATCAAAAACCGTCTACTAAACATGTGTATGAATGCAACAGCTAAAATTATTAATACATGTTTTCGTCGAGGTGATGCTATTAATTTTTTCAAATATAAAACATATGCTAGAGTAGCTGCTGTCGTGTCATTTGGTGATTTAATATTAAGATATTTTGGACGCGAAAAAATTAGTCAAGCATTTGAAGTTAATAGTTCTTCACATTTTATGAGATGGTGGACTGGAAAAAAAGAAGAATTTCAAAACTATATAAAGAATTTCAACATTGAAATTGATCGAGATCGTTTTAAAACACCAACATTTAAAAAACAACATTTTCATTTAAAGTTGTTACAGTTGAATAGAGTATTAATGTTGGTATGTAAACTGTTTGGAAATCTGCAACAGTTACTGGTCTCGCTGGTCTTTCTATTACGGATGATGTTATTAGAATTAGTGGAATAGGCACAGTGAATGCTATTCGTGGTTTGTCTATTTCTTTCATTATTGTCGGTATAGAACTTACAGCGGGCATGTGTGCTTGGTCAGCGATATCTAATGGAGAACAAATGTATGATTATTTAAATCGACTATGTGATGATATAATACTTATTAGTGGATCTATAGACAAGAAAATTTTCGAAGATAAAGAAGACTTGTGAAAGCGATTTGATTGAAAATTACGAAAATTATCTTTCTTGACTTTGCCAAGTACCGATGTGGGTTAAGGTGCGGATACCATTCAACAAACACTCGTAACCCAAATTATTTCTATTTTTTATTATTTTAACTTGATATTTTCTATGCTTTTAATATAACGAAAGAATGAGGTTTTGAAAAATTAAATTAACTGATTTTCGATTACGTAAAATTAGAAGTTGAACTTGTTTCTCTAACTTCAATTTAATGAAAACAAACTGTGCATCTTTATAAACTTTTGTAGAACTCACATATCTTTTAACAATGACTTTCAATTATATGCATATGAGTTCTTATCTCCAACTCCATCACAAACGATTGCAAAGATATAACAGTTTCATATTTTAGCATCAATGGAACTACGCTAACAAGCTTTACTGATGCAGTTCAATATACGTTCTTTTACATTATCAGAAATTATCGAGATTAAGACCAATGAATATTATCTTATAATAGAAAGAGATTAGAAAGAAAATTGCATGCCTTATGAACAATGCTTAAATTCAATGATACGATACATTGTATTAAAAGTCATAAGTTCAATAGATTTTGTTATTCACTAATGTCGAAACTATCTGAAAACGATGACTAATGTCCTATTGACAGGCATTTTTGTCCTCCAGAATCTTTCATTTCTAATAAACTTGTCTATAAGATCACTGAAGATTAGAACTCTTAGAGTTAGCCAAGAATTCCAACGACTTTCAAATCAGTCCAACAGATCATACGCTAAAAGTTACAGCTAACTTTTTTTCTGTTATATAATCTACTAATTTAGTAGAATAACAAGTTATAGGGATGACATTCTCTGTCAATATAGTTAATTCGTGGTAAACATATTAATCAATCCATTTCATAGACTTCGATATCTGTAAGAATGAATAACACTATTCTAATGAAGAGAATCATTGAAATGAATCTAGTCTTTAGTAACTGATGAATAGCGTTGTCTGTCTAAAGAGTAATGCATTCGTTAACCTTAACACTGTATGGCTCAAACTCTCAAAAATAGTGAAGAAAAATCAAAAATGAAATATTGCTGTGTAACATGTGATACAACAAATGATGAACTTTCACATCATTATACAGAAGGTATTATCAAAATTATTCATTGTGTAAGAGAATATATATATATGTAAAATAATTTAATATTATTTAAATGATTGAAATAATGTCAAAATTCTGTTGATTCTTATATTGAATTAGATGATTTACTTGTATTTATTGATTTTGTTTTATTTAAATTACGGGCACATCGACATGTTTTATTTAATATTGATAAAATCAAATATAATGTATGAAATACTTTCAATTATCCGGGTTTTTTTTAAAGAAGAAAATTCTAATCAGATCTGATTCAATTCATTTTAATTTTCTTTACAGCATTCTATAAAATTATATTGTGTATTTATTCTTGCTAATGTATATATTAAATGATTTCATCTTAAAAATGATCAATTTCAATCAATTATTAATCATAATCATCATATTTTCTTTGCTCTTGAATATGGTTTTTATTTGAAATTAATTGAATCATTTCTTTGGTATGAAATTGAATAATTTTGTTTTTTTTTTCAGAAGATTTCATTTGTGTTTTTTTGTGTTTGATAGAATATGCAATACGATTTCGACTTATATTACTCATAGTAATACTTCAATATAAACAAAAATGGACCAAAGAAAAGTATGTCTTATGAACATATGAGTTAAAACAAAATAATTCCACTATTCAACCGATATCTATCTTTATATAAATCAGATACGATTAAATATTTGATTAAAACTCTCGAATTAAATTAAAAAATGAAGAAATAATTTTTTTCATATGAAATTTTAAAATAAAAAAGTAAATTCTAATGAAAAACGCGCTCTGATCAATATTCTATCATAACTATGTCCATAAACACTAACTGCAAGAACTTATTTTTGTAATAACTATACATTTAAAGAGTTAAGAAAGTATATGGGTGTATTCGTATTTGAATTGAAACTATGAGTGTGAATGATCATGAAGAGGAGGCTAACATCCACACCCTCATCGTTATAGTAACACTTGTTTTTTTAATCCTAATAGCTTTTGTGTTGTTTCATTCAATCGCCGTTCAGTTTTGTGAGATGTCAAATTTTATCATTAATAAATATTAGTCAATATTTCTATCAGCTTGATTAAAATAAACTTAGTTTTAAATCTAGATAGTTTATTAATCCAGAACAGAGTAATATTATAAAAACTATGTATTTTTCAATATGCCAGTTGCTGAAAAACTTTGTTTGATTAATGTTCATGCGTGAATGTTTTTTTTGTTTTTGACTGAGAAAAGCAATTGGTTTGTTCGTTATATATAAAATATGTAGAACGAACGAAATTCGATTGTTCGAATAGAATTGTCTTCTATTATATTTGGAAGATTCTAAACTTAAGCGTAGCATCATTTTCTATCGATGAATAAACGTACTTTATCTGTCAAAAACAAAAACATTTTATTTATTAAAAAAGTTAAAATTAATAGATTATTATTTTTATTTTTTGATATAATAATGATTTTAATTATCTTGAAATATTAATTAATAGTTTAGAATTACGATTTGATAAGGTAAACAAAAGTAAAAGAAAACTGAATTCATATTTTCATTGATAAATCACTATAATTACGATGTTTTTTAGCCATTTTTTTTCTTGTTTATAAAAATTAATTGATGAGCAAAAACAAATAATTAAATTGAATAGTGAGCAAAGTTTATTATCATAAACGAAATTATTATATTACTATTAGAGAATTCTGAATAATTATATAATGGTTAATGTGATTCGATTTAAATCAATTATGAAAATTATTTAGAAGATTTCGATTAATCTCAACTTTTTTTTTTATTGGAAAACAGTTGAAAAAAAAACATCAATAAATAATAGATTCAATGAAAAAGTGTTCAAATGTTGCATAAAAAAAACAGACGATGTATGCAAAAGTTGAATATCCAATAGCAAATATCGCCTATAGAAATCTTCGCAGAACTTGTCTTTGATAATTATGTTTACTTTTTAACAAAAAAAAAAATGGCAATGGATGAGCAGTGTCACATATCCAAAATTTCGGAGATGCGCTCACATCTCTCGCAGTCAATGCCGCATCTCCCGCGGTAGACGTGGATGCATCTCCAAAATTTTGGATATGTGACACTGCTGTTTCGATGAGAACAATACAAAACAAAAAAAAAGATTTCTATTCATTTGTGCTTTTTTTTATATTAATTCTATTGATTAAATAATATGTTGTTAGAGGATTTATCATAAATATTTGATTATTTTTGACAAAATTTAAATATAAGAACAAAATTTTATATAAAGTATTGAAGAAAGAGGAATATTGTATTATGCAGGTTAAAATGAGATATATGATTATTGATAGTCTTTTTCATTTAATGATGATAATGTTAGATGAATATTTAAGATCGTTTTGTATAAATATGTTTTAGTTTAGGATCAATTTGACTTGGTTTTAATATTTGTTCATGTTGACAAGGAGATCGTCTATCAATAACTTGTTTAACATCATTAATTATATTACGATAAACAACTTGATTTGCATTTAAAATTGTATTTCGTTCACGTGGAATAATTGATGATTGATAAGTACTTAGAGATCCAACAGATCGATAATAAACAGGCATTTTTGTTGAAATTTTATTTTCAATCATTGTTCTATTTAAAGATTTATATTTATATTATAGATTGATATTAATCAATCGAAATATTTCAATAATGATATATATATATTTATTGATCAAACAATCAATTTGATCAAATTGACTAAATAAAGATAAAGTATTAAACGTTTTTATTTCTATGTTCGATAAGTCAATGATGTTATTGATTAACGAGAACAATGAATAATATGATAGAGAATTGTATTGTTCAATGTCTTTGACATATAAAGGTTAAGAATGTCAACATGATAAACAATCTCAATGTATACTAATTAAAATAAAATAAAATATGTTATGTTATCTTTCTATTTCTATTCAAATTAAATTTATATCAACAAGAAATTCTTTAGTTGTTTTGAAATCAAAATCATTTTCAATTATTTCAACAGTTTAAACATGATTGATATTGACATTCAAGATCATTATATAACAGTTTAGGCCTTGTTTAAAATCTATGTTAAGGTTAAAGTGATTATTATCATTTTGAAACTTGTTCTTTGCTATGTCACTTTCAATTAATTACATTTCATAAGGATTAACTATCTATCAAATAGTTATTCTATTTATCTTCAATTAGTCATCAATTCATAGAATATTTCGAGAAGCTATAACACAAGTTTTGTTTGATATATCTTGAAAATTCAAATTATCAAAAAAGATTTAATATTAATGGCAAATGAAGACAAGCCATTCGACGAACAATATTTTCATCTTTATCATCATATTTCGGCTTGTCCAAGCGTAACACGATGACGTTTTGTCCGCTGTGTCTCCAAATTTTCTCAGCAACAAAATCACTTAGAAATTTGAGTTTTTCGTCAGAAAGTGTGTCTTCTTATGTACTCTTGGAATCCGATAGATTTGAGTTTATTTAGCAAAGCATTCTGAAAATCATAGCAAAAATATACAGCGTAACGCGATGATGGACAAGGGACAAAAATTTGAGCGTGTTGTACTCGTTCTTTGTTGTTCTCCAAATGTATATTATCTTGAACAAAATATTTCACAATAGATTTGTAGTAAACACTTTGGAGTATTAATGTGAAAAAAAGTTTTTTTTCCAAAAAGGTCTCCCATTAATAGTGAAACTTTGGTCACATTAACGTTACGCGAGGACGAAAATTGGAAAAATAAAACCCTTTTTCTGCCATTAGCGTATCCACAATGGTGAATAAATGCGAGTTAAATCTCACGATCTGAAAACCTCAAATAGCTTTTACACATTTTCTCTCTTATTACATCGGATAATATTGGTGTTATTTAGACCGAATTTTTCAAACTACCGGCATTGAAGGTGACGCGTTACGTGGACAAGCCGATTTTCGTTCGAAACAGAAAAGAAAAACTATGTTTTATATCTTAATTTGTGCCTTTTATTTTTCTTTGGCTATAAAAATCTGGTATTAACAGTTAAATATCTTCTATATTTGTCTTTAAGATAGTTATTATATCGTAACTATGGTTCAAAACAATGACTGAAATACACTATAAATAGAACCAAATATTAGAATTGAAATAAATCGAAGATAATGGTACTAGGATGAACAATACAAAATCCATATAGACATTCTATTTCACACTGCATGAGTTTATTTGAATAATATCATATTCTGTATTTTTTTTTTCGAATAGAAATAATTCATATATAACTAATTCTATTGACACGAGATTTCTTTCCTTTTTTTTTTAAATTTCCTATATTTAAATAAAACTGTATAAAAAAATAAGAAACGAATTATATTAAAAATAAAAAGAAATTTCATTTGTTATATTTTATCAAAAAAATATCGAAAATGACGTTTTCTACATAAAGTTATTAATAGTATGTTAATCAATGTGAGAGTAAAACATGAACTACTTTAAATAAATAGTATAATTATGTTAAAAGAAAACGATGAAATTTTATTATTTAAAGAATATAGAAAGAATAAATCAAGTTTAGATTTTCGAAATAAAACAATTTATAAGTGTTGAGCAAATTAATTTATAGTATCAAAACGTGCAAAATTAACATTTGATATATTGTGAAAAATGTAATAGAATATCAATGATTTCATATTATATAGATCAATTTTGAAAATTCAATCTATAGAGTTTCTAAAATATTACTTTTTTTTTCTTTTTCTTTTTTATAGATGTATATACATCATTAGATAATGATGATTTTTGTTTTTTATTTTCGTCTTTGTCATATTCAATGATAATATAATTTATCTATCATATGCCTAATTTATTTTTTATTAAAATAAATAATAAAGATAATATTATATAAATATAGTTATCAAATTTACACAACAAAAAAAAAACAAATACTCTAGAATTTACGATCTATGAAAACATCTAATAATTATTTCTTGAAAATTATAATAATAATAATAATATTTAGAAAAATATTTTTGAATACAACGATTTTATTTAATATAAAATTTATAAAGAAAATAAAGATTTGTTTAATCACAATTTTTTTTTTGTTTCAAGTAACTATTAATCTAATCACAGTTATGATGATACGAGATTAGTTAGGAGAATTTCTATATAGATGATAGATTTTCTATTAATGTTAAATATGTCATGTTGTTCTTTTATTTGATATATATATATATGTTGAACTCTTATAGTTCGTTCTTTTTTAATCATTTGATTCTTTTTGTCTAATATGTCTGAGAAGCAATGAGAAATTTGAGTTAATGAAAAAAACAAAAATCATAGACAAACAACGATATTTGATAACTCTAGCCTACTCTATATCCTATTTATATTATTCATATCATATTAATATAATAAATAGGATTACATTGAATAGTACATTATTTAATGAATCATTTTTAACAAATCATACCTTAATTATATTATTGTGTCAATAAAAAGTAAAAAAAAAAAGAATTGAACTAATGTAAATACACAATCAAATAATTAGACAATCTATGATGCATCATCCAACAACATTAAAATAAATTACAGTCTGTTTAACATAAATTTTATTTAACTAATTAATCAATAGATCATATATTAAAATAATAAGATCTTATCAATGAATATTTCTTATGTAAACATCTTGATTATGATTATATTATTTTTGATCTATTATCTTATTAGATTATTTCAAATTTATAAACAATAAATTAACTATAAACAAATATTTTTATTTTCTTTCGATATATAGATAATATTATGTAATTGAATATTTATTCTTTATATGCCGTCAGTAATATAACTAAGGACATATGAAAAACTAATGATTTTATCATATAAAATCCTAGAGAAAAGAGTTAATCAAGTTTTTGCTCGAATAATTATTTTAGCTATGAGCCATGACTAATTATCTCGAAAGAATAGTTATTTAAAGATATTTACATACTACATTATGTTTTTCTATGCTAAATGAGCATAAAATCAGGACCTAGAATTGATTGTAACAATCTCTCATTGTCATATATGGATCTGTTAAAACTATTATTCGATATATATATATATATAATGTGTTGAGTTATATTCAATAATTTTTGTTTTCTCATTTGATTAATAAGTCATTTTTGACAATTACGGATTAAAAGTCTATCTGTTTTTATAAAAACTATGAAATATTATATTGAGATAAAAATAACAAAGTACAATTTCTAGTTATATGTAAAGTTTGTCTTTGATTTATTTGTTTAATTAATCATGTCAAACAAAATATAATTAATAGAAATAGTTTATAATCATTATATAAAAATATTGTAGACTAGATAAGAAATTTTTCATTAAAAAGATTCGTTGATAAATATAATGCATAACAATTTCAAAATATTTGTGTGAACAATAACTTGACTAATCATTTTTTTTTTTGACTAAATAATTAATTTTACTATGTTTTCTAATTGTATCATTCACAAGATCTTTAGTTATTTATTTCTAGATAATATCTAGTAGCTTTTTTTAGAATGAATTATGATTTAAAAAATTCAATTCAAATATATTTTTTTATAAATGAATATTGTATAAAACTTAATTATATACAATAAATATTAATAATCTTAGTTAAATTTATCTATATATAAAATAAAAGATCAATTGATTGCCTTCTTGATTAAGATACATATTTATATCGTATGAATTTTTTTTTTTTTTTGAATATGTTGAAGGCCTACTAGAAACAAATTTCCGGCATACTCGATGACATTTTCAGATGATATTAAATAAACAACGATCAAAAATAGAACACTTTGACAAGCAAACATTTCCTATGAACTTTTATTCAGTAAATTTAATTTATCTTTTTTTGTTCGAAATATAATGCCTTGATGCATAACATATGAGAAATTTTTTTTTTTTTATTAAATTTTTACTTTTTAAAGAATGAAAAGTTCAATGTTTCGAACAATTCTAACAAACAAATTCTTACTCTAATTATGAAAGTGTTTTGCTATTCAATTTTAATATGAGTTAATTCAAAGAAGAAAAAAAAAGGAGCCTGTCATACTCTATCAAACAAAAAAATTAATTAACTATACTCAGTCAACATTCATACAGATTTCTCAATCGCGGAATCAAATATTCATAAGTAGAGAAAAAATGAAGATACTTTATAAAAAAAATCATGTCACTTATGAGAGATAAGAACTTAGTCAATCTTCGTATATAATTATTTTAATTTTAATTTTTTTTTTAAATGAAAAGAAAATTCATTTAGGTATCTATTGGAATGACCTTAACAAAAAATTTTTAATTATTGATAATGAATAATAAGGTTATGAGAACTAAATTATGGAAGATATTTTATTCTATTTAATAGCTATATTAAAAACAGTAATAAATTCTGTCTATAATAATAAATATTCAATTGAGATATAATATAATACTATCGGATAACAAGTTCAAATTCTTTAAGAAATGATAATCAGACCATATTATTAGTAATTCTTATAATTATAGTTGTTGAATTAACCATAATATGAATAGACACTAATGTAGATTGAGATATTGCGTTTATGAATACATTTCAATCAAAGATTTACTTTATAAAGTATGACGCATTTACTATATGTAACAAAAGTTGCATTTTTATTGGTTGAATAAGCACATAAATTGTTTCGGTCTGTAAGCTTTATTTTACAAAAAAAAAGGAATTTCTCTACTCTTCTATTATGTTTATTGCGCTGTCTTATTTTTTTTTTTTCTTTTTTGTTTTTAAATAAGTGATAATCAGATCTTTTTACTAATTGAACTCACATTGTACTGACTTTATTGTTTATATATTATTGAATATAAATTGATTTAATTTGGAAAATTTTTATTTCATTCTTGATAATATAAAGAAAAATTTTGATAAATAATATCTATATGTTGACAATAGTAATTACGTATACAGCAGTACAGAAAACATTTATTTTTTATGTATATATATATATAATATTTCTTTTGAATTATAATCAATAAAATGCATTAGAGATATGAATTGAAAAGAAAATATTTCATTTTAAATTCAAGACATACTTTTTTTATTCTTCTTTCGAAGTAGTACATAAATAAAATACTCTTCATTTCTATTAATAATAATCTAAAATCGAATAATTAAATAAAATAATAATTACTATTGAATGAAATTGATGATGTATTAAACAATAATCTTCTTTTGATTGTTATTCAAAGAATAATTTGTAAATGTCATCTTTTGTTTTTTTTTTTTAAGATTTGAATTCTTATTTTATATTATATAAGAAAAGTTTAACTTTTTGTTTTCTTTAAATATATTATTGTCGAATAAAATCGAGACTATTTTTTATGAAAATTTTTTTACGTAGATCTATTGTCCGTTGGTTTAATAATCGAGAAAATTTTTGTTACTCCTAAGGCGATCCTTTATATAGATTTTAATGAAATTTTTTTGTTTCAAGGTTTGTTTATTAATTCATAATAGAATTCTGACAAGAGATCATATATCATTGTATTATATATATAGATATTAATGTTTTCTTTTTTTTTATATTTTAATTGATGTTCTATTAATTTGATATATTCCATTAGAAATAATTTATCTATATAAAGTTAACTTGTTTTGTTCTCTAAAAAATAATATTCAATTGATAATTATTTATTTGTCACGTATATATATAGAATGTTTTAACAATAGTATAGACACGTTTATTTATAATTAATGTTAATATATCTCAATTGAATAGCATGTTCATTGAGTATTTTTTGTGAGCAACTAGACAATAATAAAATCAATTTTTTGAAAATATATTATCAAACTGAATTGACATACTTATCTTGTATATATATATATATAAGTTATATTGTAGTACTATCATCAGGCTTATTAGTTTATGTTGAAACCCTTGAGAAAATAGAATAATTGAAAACCTCGACAGTAAGAACATTAATTATCTTGATAATAATAATATGATATAGGATGAATAAAGTCTCGAAAAAAAATTCTTTTCTTTCATCAGCTGCTCTTGTTTAATCAATATATATATATAGTATTATATTTCATAATTCTTGTTCTTGTATTTGTTAAGTACAAAATATTTAAAAGAAAAGAATAATAAAAAAAAAAAAAAGAAAATGTTTGACATGAATGATGATAAAGCACAATCCTAATTAGTTCTTTTCTTCAATATATATATATATCTTAACCATCCACAAGCGTTGTCCTTATAATATACTTCTTATGAGTTCTTTTTTTTTTCTAAAAAATTTTTTTTTTTTTTTCTTTATAAGATAAATATCTTTTTTATATAGTCATTCATTATATTTGAATCTCGGCATATATCTAACTAACAACGTTAAGAACAAATAACATGTTTACAACTCTTCTTATATTAGCTTGTTGCCATTCATTAATAGGATCTTTATCTATTGATGGTAGTTTAACTCAAAAATATATTGATGGTACTCAATATACAATTAAAAATATTGGTGCAACATATACACAACATGTTTCGAATGATGGTAGGTCGAGTTTTTTTTTTTTCTTTTTATCTATCTTTGATATAATCAACGATAAATAATTTTTTTATTTTATTTAAATAGGTTTATGTAGAGTTAAATTAGATAATGAATCTAAAATGTTAAATGAAGGTGAAATAATTAAAATAAAAAATAAATGGTTTAAAGTTGAAGAATGTCAATTAAATCGAGCATATCCAGTAGAATGTGGTTCAAAATTATTTTATCAATTACGTGATTTAAGTTGTTCATTTATTGAAGAACATAATCATGATAAAAAAAATCTACATCAACAACAAACAACAAACCATCTTATGGAATTATTAGATCGATCATATTATAATGCTTGTTGTCGAACGGCATGTACTATTTATGAATTTATTCAATCTTGTCCTACTTAATCATTATAATAAACAGAATTAAAATCTATTTTTAAGATATTCGAATTTTTATTCGATTTTATCAAAAAAAAATAAAATCAAAAAAAGAAAAAAGAAAAATTGTTAATGTTGTTTGTCTCGTCTATTGTATTTCAAAAGATTCTGACGATCATAAAAGTCTTTTTATATCAGAGTTTAGCGTTAAATGATCAATAAAAACTAGTGTAAAATTGATATATTTAATATCTATATGCATAATAATTGTTTGGTTGATTATAATTCATTTTCGAAAAATTTTATTTATTAGATAACTAAACATTAGATTTTATTATTTATTAAGTTTATTAAAGATAAATATTTCTCTTCTATTGAAATGATTTTAATTTTCGATTTGTTTCTCATAATAAAATCAAATTAATTTAATTGATAATAAAGAGAATGTTTGAATTAAATAATAAATGAATATTGTATAAATTTTGAATAATTTTATTTTGATGTATAATATACAATTGAAAATTTTTATTAAATCATATTAATAAATATTATATATTTAAGAATTCAACTATAAACAATAACAATCAACTAAAGTACATTTTAGAATAAATTGAAGAGAAATAATTAATTCGAAATCTTCTTTCATCTTATAGAATTAATTTTATATTGATATTTTATAATAACAAAAAAAAAGAATGATTTATATTTAACAACTAAATATGGTTTATATCTATATTCAATAATACCACGTCTAATATTATTTAACATCTTAAATAATCGTTCTTAATTATTTACTATAAATGACGACATTTGAAACAGCTGTCAATATTGAATTAAGATAAACAAGTTCAACACATGTAAAATATTATATATCAAATCATTATTTAGGCATTTTAAAGTATTAATTGAAGAACAGCATTTATTTAATTAATCAAATAGACTTTTTGTTTTTGTTTGTCAAAGTGTTCAAACACAGATAAATCTAGCATATTGAGACAGTTGAAAAATCGACTTTTTTTGCGTCAGACGGATCGAGCTGAAATTTTAGGATATGAATTATGACTAATACTTACACATCTTGTAAAAGTTTCATCTTTATACATATAAATATATCTGCAACCATTATATGTGCAAAGATGAAACTTTCATAAGATGTGTAAGTATTAGTCATAATTCATATCCTATAATTTCAGCTCGATCCGTCTGACGCAAAAAAAGTCGATTTTTCAACTCTCTCAATATGCTAATATAGTCTATGAAACATAAATAGCAGTAGATTAAAAAAATAAAATATATACGGTTGAGTTCGCTTGAAAACCCTCAGTTTTTCTTTGTGTTAGATGATTGTTTATAAGTGTTATTTTCCATAGCAATAGCTACTCTCATCATTTTATTATTTGCTTCACTAAACAAATTTAACTTATTGTCAACTAAGAAAAGTAGATATGAATTACATGATAAGTTATTATCAAATGACATAGAACAGAATAATTATTTTAAGTCAATACGACCTTATTTTATGAGTGCACAAACAACTAATATTCAATATTTACCAGTTTACAATAATGAAACTCATATCACATAAGTAAAAGATAAAATTTTTGTTCATTAGATAATTAAAAAAGTAATAATAATGATCTTTCATGTTTGAACATTTGAACCTTTGACTTGTAGAAGGAACTACCGTCCCGGACAAAAGTTTAAGTGAAATTAGTTTTTCACTACTTTTTTCATATTTCTATTTCAGTATATTTTTTTTCATATTATGAGGTATGGGTCTGATTCAAATAGTGATATAGATGGTATGAGAGGCCAGCTATATGATGTATTATAGAACGAGACTCCGTCTACCTATATGGATATTTTATAATAAAAAAAAAATTTTTTTCTATGAAAAAACAGCATTAGGTGCCTATCAGTATTTCGCATTCCCTAACCAAGAGATTTATGCTAAAATAAAAGAAAATTATATCAATCGATAGAGCATTTCACGCTCTATCAGTTTATAAAAAAGATTTTTTTCTGGAGTCGATCTTCATCTCTCAAACTTGGTTTTAGGGAGAATAGTCAGCAAAACGGAAAAAGTGAAATTATCTCCTACAAACTCCCTCTTCTCACAATATTTATATACACAATTGAAAAGAGCATTCAAAACTGAACAAAATGTTATATTTAAAGTTCGAATATCACTGATTTTTCACGTCCACCTTATTGAAATAAAGTTTTGCAAAACACAACTAGCTGTTCTTTCTTAATTATTTTGATAGGAGAAAAATGCTGACTATTCTCCCTAAAACCAAGTTTGAGAGATGAAGATCGACTCCAGGAAAAAAATCTTTTTTTATAAACTGATAGAGCGTGAAATGCTCTATCGATTGATATAATTTTCTTTTATTTTAGCATAAATCTCTTGGTTAAGGAATGCGAAATACTGAAAGGCACCTAATGCTGTTTTTTCATAGAAAAAAATTTTTTTTATTATAAAATAGCCATATAGGTAGACGGAGTCTCATTCTATAATACATCATGTAGCTGGCCTCTCATACCATCTATATCACTATTTGAATCAGACTTATACCTCATAATATGAAAAAAATATACTGAAAAAGAAATGTGAAAAAAATAATGAAAAACTAATTTCACTTCAACTTTTGTCCAGGACTGTAGGTTTTAAAATTTGCTCGATGTATATGATTGAGAAAGTTTATTTCGATATATATTATTATTATTCTCTATAATTATAATTAAAAATAATCTATGAAATGTGCCAAACATATATTTTTCTTGATAGATAAAAGGTTAAATTTCTTTGATGATACTAATAATCATACTTAATATTAATTATTGACTATTCTATTAGTATTAAAACAGAAGAAAAAAAAATCTTTTGACCTAAACAATATGACTAACGAAATAAAAATGAGCCAATTTAATTTGTTTATTGTAGTGATATTTATCACCGATTAAATATTGTAACATATTTCACAATCAACAATTTCTTATTGAAAAAATTTTTATTTAAAATAGACAAAATAAAGAATGTTCGTTTTTCGAATAAATATTTTATTTATTTAAATCAAATTAAATTGATTTGAACATTTTAACAATTAAATACGTCAATCATTTTACATCAATTTAACAAATAACATTTTATGAAAACAATTTTACTAAGATATTTAAGATAAAAATAGAAAAAAAAAACTGAAAAACATTACGTAAATAATCTATTAGAAAGCATATGGCTTGAAATTTTTTTTTTTGCTTTAATTACATTCTATTTCGTAGATCTTTAAGGACGATTGAGTTAAGAATATTGAGTTCGTTTATCAATGAATTATTTTCAAGTCTTTAACATTTCGGTCAATAAAGTCTCACCATGTATATTTATCATTGATTAATAAATAACAAACAAATTATTCTAAATAATCTATATTCAAAATTGAAATTCGAAATTCTTAATAAAAATCAAATCTACTATCTAGATATATTTTTATTTTTTGTTAAATATCATCATTCTGAATGAATAAAATTATTTTATTTTCTTCTAACAAGCAAATTTTTTGATATCTTTATAATGAAGGCGTAAGAATAGTATCATGATATTTATTATTTGTCATTTCTTCATACTTAGTCTGTTATTTGAAATAAAATATGTTGTTTTTTTTTCTATTATCTTCAGATGTATTCATTTGCAAATAGAGAAACATATTGTTAATAGTTTCCGTTCTCCGGTTAAATAAATTTCGTTGTGATTTATATCGTGATTCATGATTTTATATTCCTAATAAGTTTCTATAAATTAACAAAAGTTGATGAGTGCCTGCAAACAAAACTAGAACACATGTTTTATTCTTCGTCTTTATCAAGTTCATATTTAATTAACACATATTTTTAATGTAACAAAAAAAAGAAAAAAATAAAACAATTGTTGATCACTAGCTGTTGATTATATTTAGTTATATTTAGGAAATATCTATTTTCAACGGTATGGTACTAATTTCTAAAAGAAAATAATTATTTTTCAATCTTCTCACATGAAGAAAAAAACAAATTTTTGAAGAATAAATCTTGTAAAAAGTCACAGAAACCTTATGCTTGAAAAAACAAAGTACTTTTACAAGTTAAATAAAATAATTATTAACAAAAAAAATCTAATATGAGTCAATGGTAATAAGTCGTTAAATTGTTTTCGGAAATAAAACTCAAATCAAAAAGAAAGAATAAACAACCATAAAAATCATGTCTCAATCTAAAAGTTAAACAGTTGTTCGTATCCAGGTAGTATCAAGACAATCTATTCCAATCAAACGCATTACATTATCAACAATAAAATCATATAATATTATATAGAAATATTCTTTTATTTATTTTTATAGGAACATATCGGTAATACAATTATAATATAAGAATAGATTGTAACAATTCTAATTCAACATTCTATATGGATTGACTTTCTACTTGAACAAAAAAATATTTTACTAAGATACATTTTGACCTCATGATTTTGGACTGATAAAAGTACAATATATATATATATATTAATATTCGAAAAATTTTGCTTAGTCTAGTTGATTTACAATTTATTGAAAATTTAGTGAACAATTTTTTTTATTTATTTATCAAATCAAACAGATAGAAATAAAAGAAAATCATCGAATCATGATATTTAGAAATCTAACAACTTTGCCACCTGTCTTATAGATGCACTAAGCAAAAACCAGAGGTACCGATTATACTCTACATACTGATAAAATATCATACGTAGAGAATCATGATATTTCTTTTTTTTTTCTTTTTCTTTTTTTTATAAGAGAAAATATAGTGTATATATATATATATATACAAAAAATATTCTAGACAAAGAAACTATAATAGATTTGCAGGCAAATAAAATTCTTTTCATAGAACGCAGGGTACGTAGTAACAAGTAAGAATTTCAATTTAATTTATAAAATTTGATTAATAATAAAATTTTTTTTTTTTTTTAAATTTTAGAATATTATTTAAGAAAAAAAGATAAAATAATAATTATGTTGAACCATTATATTATCTTATATTTATTTGCAATAATCGTATTAATCGAATGTATGCCACCAGAAAAAATAATCGATTCAAAAGACGAAGATAATTATTATGGTGATAATAATAATAATAATAAAATATTTACTCGTCAAATTGATAATAGAAAAGAAGATACAATACAACATATAAAAGCACTTGGTATAACTTATCGACAAATTATAAAAGATGGTCAATGTGCAATTAATTATGATGGTCAAATATTTATTGAAGGTGATTTAATGAAAATTCGAAAAAAACAATTTCGAGTTGAAAATTGTTTATTAGAACGTGTATATCATGCATGTGGTCCAAAATTACTTCTTATGTTAAGTGTAGTTTGTCGAGTTGTTGAACACAATAAAGTATCAGATGAAATTTTAAATTTAAAACGAGAAACAAATTTTGAATTTATTCATCATCGAGATTCAATAATAGATAGAAAAAAACGTGTTATTGCTGAATCATGTTGTGAAAATCATTGTACTGTTTCAGAATTAACTCGATATTGTCATTAAATTCTATGTACATTTGTTATAACAAATAATCTTATCAAAATTATTCTATCATTGATTATTTTGTTTATTTTAATCTTATTTGCCAATGTATTTTCATCTCATGACAGAAAATAATTAAAAAAAAAAAAGAAAGTCCTAAGTTAATTTGTTGTTGTTGTTTATCTTCTTTAAAACTTTAATAAACTTGCCCGATAATATCAAAAATTTTATATTCTTTTGTTTTTATCTAAGAAAAGATTCATAGTAGTATAAGAAAATTTTTCAAATTTAAATTTATTTTTATTTAAACATGTTGATCTTAAGAACATTCTTATATTTCATATATTGTTCCTATTCAATTCTAATCGAGTCATGTTTTTCAACCAAAAAGAAAAAACATCAATCAAAATAAGGTACATAACAAATATATTAAAAGGTGATATTAGACTAAGGTGACTTTTGATGTTTCTTTGCGTCATCAATTTTATCAAAATATGCAAATTTAATGCGTTTTAATAATTAGTTTTTTAATGAATTTTCGTAAAAATAAATGTCAAAGAGTAGAAATTTTGCCATATAATATTGTCGTTATGATCTATATTAAACTAATGTGTTGAAAAATGGATATGATATGTGTATATTTTGTCGATAAGCAAATAGTTTATAGTTATTTTTTTGTTAGTGAACATTTTTCATTAAGTGATATTCATTTATTTAAATGAAAGATTATATAGAAAATTTAGAAATGAAAAATTTCAGCTATGTATTAAATGAAATACGAATATTTCAATTGTTATATAGTTGATTATTTTTTTTTGTTTAATTTTTCGATAAATAAAAACTATTTTATATTGTTTATGATAGAACAAGTTGATCATGTTTTACATTTGAACCTTTTGTGGTAATTCTTCACGTATATTTTCGAAGAAAATAGTGAGTGTAAGTTTTAAATTTAAGGTTTCGCGGCTCTACACACTCCCTCTTCCTCCCCTACCCCTTACCGACCATAGCAACTTCACAAAAAAAAACATTCTACTCGAAGTATATAAATAAAAAAGACAACATTTACTGACAATCAATTATCGTCTTTGAGAGAATTTAAACATTATATATTTTGCCATCAGTACAATGAAAGTAAAGAAGATATGTAAGTTCCACATTTCAACCCCAAAGGGACTGCGCTAACAAGCTTTTTTCTTTTGTTTTTCTTTATTATTTTGAATCAATAATGTACGTAGACATGTCCCCATAAGACATGGCTTCGATTTTCTTTTTTTTTTTTATCAAATATTTGATTTTATGTCAAGATTTATTCATAAACAAGTAAATATTCAATAGATTTGATTGTGTTTTATTTAACTTTATTATTAACATGAATCGATCTTATTGAAACTTTCATTATTATTATTATTAATTAAAATTTTATTTTCTTATCTACATTGAATTTAATCTCTTTTACCTTAATAAAACAGTTAATTCATTTTTATTTTGTTTTCTTTTTTGTGATTCATCCTTTCAAGAAAATATTTATCATATAGAAAAATAATGTTGCTAAATCTTCCTGTTTTTTTTTTTATAAAAATTCCGGATGTTAGATATTTTCAATCTTCATCATACTTTAATTGTTGATTAACATTTTAAGTACAATAAATAACTGATTCTATAGAAGTTTTGTGTTATATCTTATATTAATTTACCTACAAGATTATACAAAAATTTATTTTCTTTTTATTGTCAAACTCTTGCATTAATGTCTATATGTCGAAAGTGTTTTGTTGCCAAGGAAACATTTTATACGATAATAAACGAATTCATATATTAACACAACTTATTAATACTGAGTTAAAATATTTGTTATGATCGTGTAGAAAAGTTTATGATTTTCTCTTAGGAAAAGCAACACTATTCAAATGAAAATTCCTATCTACTAAATAACAATTACATAAACAAAGAGTAAAATGTGAAATTGATAAATTTTGAAGAATTTGAATTAACTATGTTTTTAATGTGTCGTTGTTTTTCTTAACACATACTTTAATATTGTTAAAAGTGACCCTCGAAAATTTTTGAGACTGATATCTGATAACATTGGAAAAATTTTACTGAAATCATTTTTAATAATAATTAAATGAAAAACAAAATCTTTTGATGTAAGATTTCATCATTCTATAAGTTTTATATTGAATTTTTTAGAAGTTAAAATATTTTCAAGAAAAAAAAAAATAAATAAATATTCATAATCAATAATTTTATTGTCGATTATTATTCAAAACTATATTTTAAAATTTAAAAGAGATTTGAAAACATTCAATCAATTGAAATATAATTATTGTTAGTGAATATATATATATGTTTTATTTTTTTTTTTTTTAATTCTTTTAAAACACTAGTAATGTAATTCTTATTCATAATTAATTATATTGTGACGTTAATATGGTAGACACGTTAATAGAAATTAAATAATAAATATTAAATGAATTCTCAATGAGACTTCATCTTAAATATCCAAATATATATGTTTTTTTTTTACCCTGAACTATTAGAAAAGTTCATTTATATAGAATAATATCTATCGAGATTATTTAACTTTGTTTTTAGCTTTAACTATCAAACTTTCAATAAGTGTGACACTTCTTCAACTATTTTTCTGCTATTATATCAATATGAATAAAGAAAATTCTTTGATTTTTCTAATCAACTTCCAATAAAGAATTTCTAAGTAGTGTGTTAGTAAGCTTCATCAGTAATCACAATAGAAATTCCTTGAAGATTTAAGAGAATTAGAATGGCTACAGGAAACTAATATAAGTGACATAATTTATTCTTGTATTCACATGTGAACATCTTATCAATGATGAGAATAATCAATTTATTTTTATTTTTTTTCTTTCTTCATCAATAGTAACCCAGGTCGATGATTCCGATCGTCGAAAATAGTGTCTTATTTGACCTGAAATGACTCTAAAACGATAAAATACGACACTAACTTTGACCTTATTTTGCCGTAAGACATCATACCGTTTTATGAGACGTTTTTGTCGCTAGAAAACATTCATCTTTTTTTTCCCGGTTTTGTTTCCGTAATTTGATATGACGGATTCCAGCACTGTTTTTTCGACGTTTTACATTGTTATTATGATGTTTAAGACCATTTACGACGCCGTTTTCTTGGACCTGGGAATGTATTACTTTTTTTTTCTGAATGATATATATATATATCAATAATATTCTACTTGTTGTTAATCTAAAACAAGAAAAATTCATATAGAATTTACTTTGTTAAATCGTCGTTACTAATGAATCTGTTATAACAATTATTTTACATAAGAAAGTTTAAATCATGCCATACTGCTCTAGTTATTAATGATAATAATATAAATACGTTTGAAAAGAAAAATTTTCTGTGTCACATTGTTCTTAAGCTATTGGGATTTATTGCTAAATATAAACTGATTTTGATTGTGTAAAAAGATGTCGATGTTTTTTTGCTTTTTTTTTATTTATAAATGATTAGGTTTAAATTACATTATCGAACATAGAAATGTGTTTAATGTTTAAAAATTTATGATGAACTTTGAAATATTGAAGTTATTAAAAGTTCAAAAATAAGTACTATTTATATATCAATTATAAACCATAAATCATGACCAAAAAAAGAAAAGAAATACTCATATGATTGTTAGTTCAGGGTTAAGATAAAAATAAATTTTCAAGTTTACTGCACGAATATCTGATCATCGTAGAATCTTAAATGAGCGGACAATCTCTCAGAATCTTTCAAATCTAGTTTTATAAAACACTTATGATAAAATTCAATCATCCAAGATTCACTCTTTTCAACTTACAAAATTTTACCTTGTTTCATTAATAACAAGCTTTGATGTATATTTTCTTATTCTCGGTAGTTATTTTCATGTCTATATCGATCATTTTCTCGCATATATGTCGTGCCAAATTTATTTTTGCAAACTCAATCACAGTTTTAATAGATAGTGTATCTGAATATGATTGCTTATTGACAATTTTTTCTACTTCGTTTTCATGGCTTTTCATCATGGATCATTTCTACTAATCGATAGTCTACTTGAACATGTCGATTGATAAGCTCTTATCATTTGTTTCGAATTATATTTTGATAGGATTGAATAATAATATCAATCAGTTTATCTTCTCATTTTTTCTTGATATTGAAATATTAAGGTTATCAAGCACTTCGAAAATAGAAAGAAAATTTTGCTGGACAATTTTTCTGTCATTGTTGATGCTATTCATATAAACAAATCATCTGCGTCTATTATATATCTTCTTTCAGAGTGTTTTTTTTTGTCTTCAATATCTGATTACTTTTGGTAATGTCAAGTATATCACTTCATCACTTTCCCTAATATAAAAGAAAACATTTTAAATTCAGATTACATTATTTAATCGATGAATAATCATTAATATAATGCTCTAAAAAAGTTTCACTACCAGACAAAAAAACTATCTAATAACTTAATCATTTATTTTCATAGTTGGATCGCAAATAGAGCATGTTAAACTTTGATCCAAAACCTAATAACAAGTTGATTAACTGTCATACGAAAGAACTTGAAGGTCAACATATATCTCATTATATTAGGTCTCTCATTCAACAGTTCTATTACTAAGAAAAATGTCATATCAAACAGTTTTCGTTCGCCTAATTAAGTTATAAAATTATCTTTGATTTATTCCCAAATGCGAGTTGATAGGAATCATTAATAAGTGAGTGGTATCGTTCTCCCACTGACTTTAACCATTTGTCTTGGCATTTATTTGAATCAGTGCTTTTCTCTAATCAAATTTTCTTCAAAAAAAATTTCATGATCACAATAATTAATGACGAAAAGATCTATGCTGTGACCATTTTAGATAGAAGAGACTTCATTGCAGCTCAAATTTTTACAACAAATTGAAGTATTTTATTTGTGACACCATATAGACATATGAATATTTATTTGTTAATAATAATAATCCGTAGCTGTCAAGTGTGTCTGGATATCTATTGCTGTCGCGACATAATTAACTATATAAAAGGTTGCTAATGCTATGAGAGTTTTTGAAAAATATTATTTGTTGTTATGCTAAATTTAGCATAGTTAGATTAAATTCATGAAAATGAATTGAAATTTTGACTGTTAAAAATTTGTAGAAAGCTAAATCGTATGTAAATTCATGTAATATTAGAATTTTATTTAAAAAAAAAATGAAACTTTCGCTAATATTGTCGCAGACATATTTGATCTGTATAAAGTAGATGTTGATTTTATTATTTCTTAAATATCATCCCTGATAAACTCATACAATAAACAAAATGAAAGAAGCAAGAAAAATGCAAATAGATAGTTAGAAATAAAAACAAATAGGAAGAAAATAAACCGAGTGAAAATAGTGAAATTCACAGTGATGCTAGGTTTTTTTTTTTTTTTTTTTTATTTTTCAAGGATGATCTTTGATCATATAAAAAAGAAAAAGAAAAAGAAACTTATAAATCATTTTTACATTCAGTACGTGTACGTATACGTTTATAATAACGTTGTGCTAATGAATTAATAATTGACATAATAAAATATGTAATCATAGCAGCAACAAATAAATTAAATATTTTTGTTAATGTTGATATTCTTGTTATATGACCATTTAAATGTTCACCTGGTTTTCTATGCATTTTTAATTTTTGTTCTTTTAACCAATCTTTAAATGGTGTTTGTAATAAATGTCCATAATATGGTATATGTTTCATCCAACGTATAATACGTTCAACATGATGTTCACTAAATAAAAATATAATAAATATTGTTTGTATACTCATTTTAATTAATGATTTTCCAATAATTGTTGCAAAAAAAAATCTCCAAAATGATATAAGAAAATAACCACATGTTATACCAGCTAAATCAAATAATGGATTAGGTATACTTGCACATAATAATATACCAAAAAATCCAATACGTTCAATAAGACAATATACAGAATAACGCATACGTTGAAATAATGTTAAATTTTTTGAATTATGTAATTCAGCATTTATTATTATTTGTTCAAATTCAATTAATTCTTCATCTTCATCTGTATTATTATTGGTACCTAAACGTGCTGCACGTGCCATAAAATAAGGTGGTAATTCACCAAATGCTGTACCTAAACCCCAAAAAAATGCTTCTAATTTAACTTTCCATAATATATTCCAAAATGATAATGGTCGTGATTCTAATAAATTTCTTAAAATTGTTTCATCTGTTGTTGTTGATGATGATAATAATGGACAAACAATTTCATTTGGATATGGAGGACGAGGAAATTTAATTGAACCACATTCATATGCTGCTAATGTTACTTGAGCAATAAATGGTCCAAGATATAATAAAAATGTATGTAAACCTGTACCTAATCCAATAGATGATGCTACACCAAGACCAAACCAATATAATGTCCAAATAAATAAACTTTCAATTTCTTGTATACTTTTTTGATGTGAACCTTCAAATTTATATATAAATAAGAAAAATATTAATAATATACTTGAAAGAAATAATGTTTTTCGATAAGATAAACAATATTTAAAATTATGATGTATTAAATAAATTATTTCAAGAAAACAATAATGAATTGTATTTATTGGTTGTCGCCATAAAACAATTTTATCTGATTCATAATGAATTATATCTTGATGACTTTTTTTATGTATTAATATTTGTTCTTTTTCTTCAAGTTCTTCATCAAGTGTTGAGATTGATCGAATTAATTTACTAAAATACTTCAAAAATAATATTATTAAAAATGCAAAAAATAATTTATTTACTCATTTTTTATTTCATTTGATTTTTCTTGTTGATTTATTTGTTGTCGACGAGTTAATGACGAACATAGATTATTTGTTAAATGAGACTCGATACCAGCTGCTAGATTCATTTATCCACAAATGATATAAAACATTATTTTATATAAAGAATAAGCCAAATATGTTATTTGCTTATTTGAACAGCAAAAAAACAAAGATATCTACGATTAACAAATAGTAGCAAGGTCACAAAAAAATGATATACGACACTCATGTGATACACATTATGACAACATGTTCCTTTCTCTAGTCTTGGTACAAATCAACGAATGAAAAGAGATAAAAAAGGACGAGTTTATTGTATCTTATCTTGGATAGATAAGATCCACATGAAGAAAAAAAAAAGAAATGTATCCAGATGTTCTTTTTCATATCCAACAAAACAAAAAAACAATAATAGATTAGGTTATATTTGTCATTATTTCATCATTCAATCATGTAAAACTCTTATTTACTAAGAAAAAAAACCAATAAGAAATCAAATAAAATACTCTATAACAAAAAAATAAAATAATTTTTTCTTGTTTATTTCCTATTGACATCTATCGATTGAAAAAAAATCAATGGTAAATCAAACGATCCATATACGGAATATCAATTTATATTAATTAATAAAATTATTTATCTCTTATTTTTAAATTTATTTTTCATTTATAAATATTAACTTTTAATTATAACTATTGATAATTAAACATCAAATATTTATTATATCTCTATTTAAAAATAAAAAAGAAATGAATTAAAATCTCATAAAAAACTTCATGATAAATAAATATCATTTAGTTAACAATTAATACTAAACAATATTCTAGAAAATAATTCTGATATTCTTCGAAATATAGATGATAGATAGAATAAATTTATATTTTAGATAATAATGTCATTATCTGAAGAATCAAATAAATTTGCACATGATAAAATTCAATGGTTACTTGAAAATCAATGTCGAATACCAGTACGTTCTACAACACCAATTCATTATTATTATAAAACATCAGATACTTTAATTGATCAAGCTGATTATTATTATCAAACAAATCAATTCGAACAATCTTTTATTCTTTATTCAAGATATATAACGTAATTTTTATATAGAATTAAGAATAAAACAAAACAAAAAAAAAAATTTTTAATATTTTATTTAAGATTATTTGTTGAAGAACTTAAAAAATATCATCGAGATTTTCCTAATGTATCAATTAATGATCGAGAACGGGTTAAAGATGTAAATATTTTATTTTATATTTAGTTTTTTTTTTTTTAATAATTATTAATTAATAGATTATTCGTACAAAAGCATTTCCACGTGCCGAAGAATTAAAAGAGAAATTAAAAGAAAAATATATTCGAGAATATCAAGAAAAACAAGTATTTAATTATAATTAATTTAATTATTTTATTTTATTTTATTTTATAGAAAACAACAGATGAAAATGAAGAAGATTA